CTATTCATTTTGAGGAAAGACTCTGAAATTTAGTAAATATCGATTATATAACAAACAAAGAAATCAATTTGAATATTCTTTTCTTTTTTTGAGAGAAAAAAATTCATGAAAATTCTTTTATGGTGTTATTATTTGTTGTTGTTTTTTGTGTATACTATTCTAAATGCGTCGGTGTTAACCATATATGACAAAAACAACAATCTAGTACCGTTCTTTTTCTTTCTGTTTAGAAACAAATAGAAATAGTTTATTGAAGCGTTTTTTTGCTATTCATGCCTAACACCATATCTTCTAATGGCAAATAAAGCTAGAGACAGAAAAAAATAGGTCTCTATCTGTGATATTTTGGCCATATTTCTTGAAGAATATTAGCGACAACATTTCTGATAATATAAAGAAAGATATTTTAGCATCATTCTCTCCTCTGTGGCTTAATGCTAGTAATATATGTTGTTGTCATCCACAAGGACGACGAGAAAAGGGAAGAAATGGACAAAAAAACCACACAAAAACTACTTGCTTATATAAGCTAAAGAGAAAAAAAAACAGAACGAATGTTAATAGATCAGAAATATGGTACTGTCTCCCCCTACATAGCCAAATAAATACAATCCACATAAACAGATAGAGAGAATACTAGTATATACGAGTACATAATATGTGAGGTTCTTTAGATGAATAGATAGAAGAAGAATAAGTAAATGCAAATAAATTGAAGATATTTTATTTTATGTAATTTTAATTAGAAAATTGATAATAATTTTTTTTATTTTATAGACCAACATGTCACGTCGAGCTCGTTCATTGAGTCGCCTCCGTGGTGTAACACCAGGACGCGAAACAACTCCATCTATTTACGAGGCTGGATCAGCTTATGATGGTACCGGTGGAAGCGGTTTTTCAACCCGTCTGAATGTTTATACACCTGATGTCTATGGAGCATTTTCTCGTTTGGGTCGATCTGCTTCAGTAGCTCGATTCAAGGATGTCGACAATGAATTGCTCGGTAGTGACTACAATCGATGGAATCGATCACGATCGGTCAATCGTTTTGATTATTTAAGAGCAAGACGTCCTTATTCTGCATATGGTACACATGATTTCGATTATTTTGATCGTTATACAGAACGTATTCGGGATAAAACACCAATTGCTCTTGATAGTCATTATAGACATTATAGGCCTTATTATTGGTATCATACAGCACCGCGTACCTTTTATTATTATTTTCCATACGATGATTGGCGTTATCGACCACTTTATAACTATCGTTCACCTGCACTTTATTCAGCTGCAGGTAATTCATCGTATGATTATCGTTTTAATGATTCAATTGATCGTGTATCCTCGTTAAAACGTGCCATGCGTGATATTGATTATACACGTGAATTACGACAATTACGTTATCGTACACCATCAACATTTTCGGCTCTTACACATGATAATCAATATTTAGGTCGAGCACGTGACGATGTTCGACGTGCTATTGATTTTCGTGTTGGTAGTAGCGGTATTTCAAGACTTGATAATCCAAGAGATTATTTTGGAAGAAAAGTAAGTGTAAATTCCTTCTTTTTTTGGATAGATGAACTAGAGGATAGAAAAAGATTTTTTATTTTAGTATCATTATTATGATTAAATTTATGGTTCAAATAGGTTCATGTGATTCACTAATATTGAGTTTTAAACAGACTATTTTCTTTTTTTCTATGATAGTTTAGTATAAATTAACAAAATAAATATTAATTTGATTCTCATAGAATAAAAAAAAATGTTAATAATTAAATATAATTTATTGAATTTTTTTTTTATTAGTATGTTCAATTTGAAAAAGATGGTGTTAATAATGTCGGTGTTCAATATACTGGTTTAACAAAAGCTGTAGAACATAAGCCAAGTTATTGGAGAGCTGAAGATAATGTTGAAACGGGCTAGTAAGTTGTAGTTTTTATTATTTTATTAATATTTATCTATAAAAATAAAATTTTATCAAGTGATTTACAAGAACAAAATGATGATACATTATATAAACTTTATGATAATCAAAATCTGATTGATTCAAGTCGTGAATCGCTTTTACAAGATAAAGCTGGTATTGCTCCTCGAATGTTTTATTTCGATTTGAATTCTGTAAGATATATCTATTTGTTATTGAATTAAAATGAATTGATTTATTTATTAATTTAGCGCCAGGCTCGTCGTGACGTTGATAATTCATTACGTCTCGTTCGTAATCTTAAACAATTCAAACACGAGACATTTAATCGATTATCACAACCATGGACATTTGGAAGATATGTTTATTAGAAAAAAACAACAGAGAAAAGGGCATTTCCAACGATGTCTCAATAAGCAGAAATAACCTTCTCGTTGAATAAGGAAGAAAGTCATTTCTTGTCGCTTCTTTTCTAATTTTCTTTCTTATGTGTGAACCTTTTATCCTTCGCCTTTCACAATGTTAAAAAGCATCAAGCTTTTTTTACGATAAAACATAATTTTGCTTTTTCATTGTTCGCATTGTATTTTTTTTTCTCTATATTTATAATACAATCTACTTTTATACAAATATATCTATCTACGTAGTTTAGCATATCGTAAAAAGAATAATATACACGCCAATGCTTTGACTTAAATTAATTCATTATTGGTTGATTGGACAAAGGAGTTCAATAATAATGAATGGTATTAGACATTTATTCAAGCTTTTAAACTACGAGAAAAATTGAACATTTTTTGCACTCATTTCTAAAAACTATACATTTTACATTCTTAATCAAGTTTTTTAATTTGACTTCGATAATCACTGCGAAAGTACGAGATGCTTTTCTCGATTATTTCTATTCGGTTGTTTGCATACTCTAAACATTTCTTAGGTAAGGTTGGTGGTGATCCTGTAAGAATTAAGTTACAATTAGCTCTTAATTTCAAAGGAGCACCCGTTGAATCAGTCCCGAACGTATCTGCCTAGCTCTCTTGGGGATGAGTACAAATTCCTGGGAACAAATGCGAGGACAGATGTAAGCCAATGTATAAATAGACAGTGGCAGCTGAAGGTGTTTAATAGTTTTTGCCTCTCAACTAAAACCCGTCGGGTTGGTCTTGAGCCCAATGGGATCTAGACGTCTGAGAAATATGTAGGTTGCGGTAGCCACTGCATAACTAAAGATCGGAAAAAGTATCTCGCATCTTCGCTGTGACTATCTATTTCGATTAGAAAATTTTGATTGGGAGTATCAAAATACGGTTCGACCGAGTCCGAGTCCGAAAATTTTGAATCCAACGGGCTCTACTGTCGACGGTAGAAATTAAAAATTTTCAAGAAATTTTTTCAAGTTTTTTCTTTGTTTTGAGAAATTTCGAAATAAAATAAGAAAACACAAGAATGATAGGAAATATACTGATAAAAGTTTAGACAAGGACATACCTGGAGTCTGATCCTGGTGATAGAAAATTTGTAACACTCTAGTATTTATTTTTCATTTATGACGTTTTAGCCGATTAACTTACAGCTCTAAATAAAAATGACACTCCAATGTTCGAATTGTTGTTCTTTTTTTTTTACATGTAAATCACAATTAGCCATCGGATTATTCAATCTAATCATTTGATATGGTCATATGGCTCAAGAAAATGAACATCGATTAGATATTATTCGACAAAATTTAACCAAAATGAGATTATTCACAGGAAAAATGCTTTTAATTTTCTACAATGTAAAACACAAAAGTTCATCTCGAGAAGTTGAATTATCAATGAAATGAACTCGAGTTTTTCATTCATTGAAAATCAATAACAAACAATAACTATTATTGGGCACTCCTTCATTAGATTAAAAATAGTTGACGGTTGTATGGATTACAGGAGTTTCAGTCCACGGAATCTTCGACTTGGATCGAAATTTCTTTAGGACTTTCGGCCTGTCCTTAAACTGATCTCATTGATATCATCCCTAAAACAAATTTAGGTTTTTCTAATTAGATGCTAAATATTACACTGCTGAACAGGACGACATAGTACTCAGCAACATGGCATAGTGCTGAGTAGAACAACATAATCCTCAGCCAGATGGCGTAGTGATGAGCAGGATAACATAGAGCTCAGCAAGACGGCTTGAGTGTGGATGTGAATAAAGAATATCCACATTTTCACCCACACCCACGCTCACACCTACACCTTCACCCACACCCACCCTCACACCTACACCTTCACCCACACCCACGCTCACACCTACACCTTCACCCACAGCCACACCTCAGAGCCGCTTTCTGTTCCTTTTTCAAAACAAATCTTGAATGTGCATTACTTATCGTGCAAACAATCTTCAATACAAAAGAAAATTTGAAAATGATGTACTTTAGGTTTCACTCAATTATTTTGTTTCTTTTGTTGGAAAAAAAGACCAAAGAATTTTTCCAACTTTAAAGTATTCGTTTGCTTATTGTTGTGTCAATAAACAGTAACTGATTACGGAGAGAGTTGCAAGAAGACATTAAAAAGCTTTATGCAAGAGTAAAACTAGCTGTCTGATTGAAACGAAAAGTAATGAAATATAAACATCTTTGAAAAAAAACTCGGCAGTTTTGAATAAACTAAAAATTGCCAGAAGAGCAACATTTTCTGTTCAGTTTGATAAACGTGACAGTACGCAACAATGACTCATTTATTAAAAATAGGGTATTAAATGTAATTATATTTCATAATTCGTTGATATAGAAATTTATTTGCAAATATCCATATAGCAATTGATGCAGTTAAACATTCTTTTTTAGAAGTCTATACCTTCGATCTAGAATTTGATGTTGACAGTGCCTATTCAAAGAATTTTATGTCGTAAGAGGCACATAATGTCGATATCTGGTCAATGTTCAAATCTATTCAATTCGCACAGTACTGTGGATAGATACTGTATCTTTTATCAAACAATTAAATGGATCTTTCTTTAGTGCTTCAACTTCCTTGCCGTCGATAATTTTATTCCAAAAGAAGTAATCTATTGATTCGTTGTCTATGATTTTTAATAACAATATTATTCACAATATTCAACCTTTTCTCAATAAAAACAACATTGGTTGAAGCTTTGCATATGCTTGGTCATACATTGCTTATAGAAGTCATACTTATCCAATACTTTGATAGTCTGATCAATTTTTACTTCCGAATTAGTTGTAAAATTGTGATTATATTCATCAGTTGATATGCACACAATTTATGTAAGTATATTTTATACAACATTAATATTTACTTATAACTATTAGCACTATTAAGGATGTTGGTTTAGTCATCAAATACGTATCAAATAAAAAGAAAAACAACAAAAAGAAAGAAGAATAAGGTTATATATTCTCATTAATTTGAAGTGTGTGCCACAACCTTTTTCGTTCTGAAATGCATTCATTATTAAGTACCGCTCGTCAATATTATCGGAAGAAAAATAGGAAGTATGTTTGGCAGCAATTTTTATGGTATTGCTTTAAAAATACAAGTTGGAATTTTTCGGAGAAAAAAAAACACACTAAAAGATTAGGTCCTCTTAGCAAACATGAAAGCATTTTTTTGCTATAGACAGTGCTCTGATGACAGCACAAAAGTTTCTTGGAAGTCGAAAGTAAACAGTTCGTGATTCGGCGAAAAACTTCGAGTGGATATTTTTTGTCATTTATATTCAATGTAATTCTTCAGAATTTTGATGTACCTGCTGGAAGGTTGTTTATCGATTTCGCTATTCGCTACATTCAATAATAAATATTCAAGGCAAAGTATTATTATCGAACCTATCTCAAGGTCTATTTTCATGATTTCGATTTTACTTGGCCCTTTAAAGTCCTCAAGTACCCTCCTTGCATAGACCTTGAAGAATCATAAGTATCTCTGGATAGCTCTTGAAGAATTATAGGTACTCTCCTGGATGGCCCTTGATGAGTCATAGGTATCTTCCTTGGATAGCCTTGAAAAGTTAGAAATAGCAATCCATAACTTACAAGGGATAGACGTATTAGAATTATTAGGAATGCTAAATTAATCCTAACACCAAGGCATTGATTAATTCTAATGCCAATAATGCTAAAGCATTAGACTTATTGATTCATGCTAATGATAATTCTAATGCGACACCCCTAGTCTTACTCTTTATAACATTATTCGACCTCTAACCCGGCACAGAGAAACACACAGACACTGAACAATATACATAGAGTAGCGAGAACCAGTGGATACTGCACGGCTGCTTTCTCCTTTAACGTATGACCTCAACCGTTTAACTTTTCATCCGGTCACAGACATACACATACTCGATATTATGTATATAGATAAATGGCCCTACGGCCTCATACTATTATATCGTACATATTTTTATAGTACATGTAGACTTCGCCCTTATAGCCGTATATCCCTTGTAGCTCTTGTAGTTTTATCCTCTTATTGCCTTACTCCCTTCAAGGTCTATGGATGGGTAACCTATAGAACAGCCCTTGGGGACATATGAGTTCCTTCATAGGATAGCGTTTGAGGACATATGAGTTCCCCATAGGATAGCCCTTGAGGATCTATGGATACCCTCATAGGATAGTCCTTGCTGGCCTATGGATATATTCATAGGATAGTCCTTGAGGGCGTATGGATATACTCATAGGATAGTCCTTGAGGGCGTATGGATATACTCATAGGATAGCCCTTGAGGACCTATGGATTCCTATACAGTAGCCCTTGGGGACTCCCCTTATAGCCTTATTTAACCTTTAACCTTTGACCTCTGACCTTTGACCTGGTAACAGACAGACAACTGTGCTTTATTATAGTGGTATGGATAGATTACCTTATCCTTTATTACCTGCCCTCTTACTGCCTTACTCCCGTCAAGGCCTGTGGGTAGCCCTATATAACAGCCCTTGAGGACCTGTGGGTACCCCCATAGGTTAGCCCTTGAGGACTCATGGATGTCCCCGTATAATAGCCCTTGACTTCCTAAGGGTACCCCATTAAGCCCTTGGGACCCTTCTCCTTATAGTCTTATTTGACCTTTAATCTTTGACCTGGTACAGACAGACACTGAGCATTATATATATAGATGCTGAAAATGCATACGACATGAAGTTCAATTTCAATTGTCCCGGCTCTTAGGTACCTCCTTAGAACTTGAAAAGAACCTGGAAAAAATGGAGAGCGTGGGTGTAAACGTTGGTCTTCGATTACTCATTCACGTCGGCAGTCATACACCACACCCACACTTGCCCATACCCATATCCATAGTTGCATCTGATGTCACTAAAGAATCGATAAAGAATTCGAGCAGTACTGGTTAAAATTAGAGAATAAATAATATAGGATGAATAGCATTTTCTTTTCCAAGAAGCTTATCATCTTATTCGTATCAGAGTATTAGATCAACATACTTGAAGATAACTTGGTTCTTCACTGAATGACGCAAATGAAACATAAAGTAATTCAAAAAAAACAGAAGTATAAAATAATTCAGCTTTTATTAATTCATATCAATAATTACGGCAGGGTCTACTAGAGTCTACCGAAATCGACTAGGATGTGGGTATTGATCACGGTAGGTATGAGCGAAGAGAAAACTAACATTTACACTAAATCCTTTATAAGTGTTGAACCTATGATTGCGCTTAGTCATAGAAAAATGGTAGGTCTCCTGCTGGACTCGCTAATAAAAACTTGTCAAATTTTTGATCCAGTCACGAAGCATTTTCTTTTCATTATTTTGACTGGTCGGATTGTTTTGGAATTAGTTTAGCGATCGCTAGCAGAGATGGGACCGGTTCAGTTTTTAACCGAACCGAGCCAACCGACCGTAACCGAAATCGATTCGGTTGGAAAATTTTAAAAATTCGGTCGGTTACGTTCGGTTCGATTGTAAAGAACCGAAATCATTTTTTTAATTTGATTGCAGCAGATTTTCCGGCAAGATATAACAAAGTAAAAAAAAGAGCATGACCGCATTACAGTTAAGCCGACTGACTGCACGAAGTACAGGCAGTAGCCGACTTATTGCTTGCGACTCGCTTAGTTGCCATAGTAAATCCTTCTTCTTCTCAACACATGAGTCACGATTCTAGTCAGTTCCGCATTCTTAGCACCCGAGCATAATTTAGAATCGGAAAAAAGTTTGACGAGATCGTAAGAACGCATAAGTGCACATCTGAAATTCGTTTCTCGGGATTCAGTGTAGTCTGGGAGATATTAAAGAGATCGAAAGTGATATTTAACAGCTGATAGTTTCCTTATATGGCTATGGATAATTCAGTCTTACATGGCAATTCAGATCTAACGAGGGAATGACCCCAACTGATTCCGAGCTTTCGGCTTCATATTTTGGCTATAGATAGACCGCAATGAGACTAAGAAAATCCTGGAAGCGTTCGTGCCCATGGGCTGCTGGACCAAAGTTATAGCCGTTTTACTGAATTTTTGGCCTACGACACGGTATCCACAGTAAAGTTAAATGAAGGTAATTCGGTCCGATATTCTGTCCATAAACAGGTCTAATGATTCCTAGCATGTGCCAAAATTTTCAATCAAAACGGATGCATCCTTCTTGAGATATTCAATTTTCAAAAATGTATGCCTATAACAGGTAAGTCACAATAATGGAGCTGTCCTGCAAATTGAATATCTCAAGAAGGATGCATCCGTTTTGATTGAAAATTTTGGCACATGCTAGAAATCATTAGACCTGTTTATGGACAGAATATCAGACAGAAATACATTCATTTAACTTTACTGTGGATACCGTGTCGTAGGCTAAAAATTCAGTAAAACGGCTATAACTTTGGTCCAGCAGCCCATTGACACGAACGCTTTCAGGATTTTCTTAGTCTCATTGAGGTCTATCTATAGCCAAAATATGAAGCCGAAAGCTCGGAATCAGTTGGGGTCGTTCCCTCATAAGATGTTAAATGCATATATTTTTTCATTAATTATCGCCTTGTGAAGTTTAATATAGCACATCATGAAGTCTACAACGCATAGATATATTTTTCCTAATGGCGGTCAAACAATCGAAAGAAGTATGCAGAAAAACGATAATTAACAGCTGATGATGGTCATTTATATTCAAAAATGATTCAGTAGCAGAAAGTCAGCAAATTTAGGTGTCATTCTTATAAAATTCCTTGAGCTTTCATATCTATTATCATCGGTGGTAGCTTATCGCGTCTGCAGTCAGTCGACTTTTCAACTTGAGCTTGTCCAGTGTGGAATTCTAGCATTCAATTTGCTGTTCGTTTTCAATTTGATGTTGATGGTATTCAAGTGTTGTTGGTAATATTCAATTTGTTTTTGCAAATATTTAATTTGTTTTTGCTAATATTTAGTTTGTTGAGTAAGTATTTTCTTCTAACTGAACATTAGAAAAAAATTCGGTCGGTTACATTCGGTTCGCTTAGCGATTTTTTTGGTTACGATCGGCTCGATTGAAAATTTTTTAAAATTCGGTCGGTTACGTTCGGTTCGGTTAGCAATTTTTTCGGTTACGATTGGTTCGGTTAGAAAAAAATGCCAACCAATCCCATCTTTGGTCGCTAGTTCTGAATAGAACAGAGCAGAGCAGAACAATTTTCTTTTACAGAGAAATCAAACACTTGGATAGAAAGATACATAAGTACGGAGTAGTCGCATACATGACAAAATTTATTTTTAGAAACCACTTATAGAAAATTGTTATTATCGGGGAAAAAAATATCGTTATTGACAAAAAGGAAAAAAACGGAAGCGCAGACCCACCTTACATGCTGTATGTATTCTTGAGAGTGAAGGAAGTAAATAAATTTTTATGTTTATTGCGTTTTTTTTTCAAGCTGAGTCACAAAATAAATGTATTTCTTCCTCACCAAGCGGCATATTTTGGTTCGCTATCATTTCCGTTGTGAATTATAAAAATGACAGGTGTTGACCTTGATGATTGATTGAATTAAAAATAGTCTGTTTAAATATTGACTTTTAGATTTATTTTGATTGCCTCCATCCTTCATTTCATTCGCATCATTATGACAGTAGGTTCTCTAGAATACCGAAAAAGATAATGAGGAATGACTTCTTTTTCAAGAAATGGCTAGCTAATAAAGGATATGATGCTAAAAACATATTTTCTCTCGATGAAAAATACAAGTGTCTAATCTGTGGATTTATACTTCGTGATCCTGTTCAAATAACTTGTGGTCATCGAATATGCTATGCATGTCTTCATGTTGAAAATAAGTAGGAAAGCAATATTACTATTTGGTTGTAGTGAATTCTTATGCCTAGTATTGTTCGATGTCCCGAATGCTCGGAAATAACATTGACATCAAAGGTAAATCAAATAGTTTTGTTGTTCATTAATTTAGCTAGTCGAGTTCAATGATTTAATACTGAAGATCAGACTTGATAAAGGATTCGATAACGAAATACAAACATTGATTATCGTCTGCATTTTATGCGAATGGTCAGGTCATTTGAAAAACTATCAAGTATTTATGTTGTGTTTTATTCTTCAATAGGTTAACTTTTATTTATTTATTTTTCTATAAAGAATCATCTTGAACAATTACATAACCAATATAGATGTTTGTACTGCAATGAAATATTCACGTCATTAACATTAATGAATCAACATAAAGAAACCAAATGTCCACAAATGATGGTGAATTGTAACCTGCAATCATACGGCTGTAACGAATTGGTATGTGATATAGAATACTTATCGTTAGCTTTGTATCTTTAGAATAGGTGCTGCGCTGTAATCTATCGGAACATTACCTCGGTGAAATGCATCAAAAAACTCTTGTACTATATGCTTTGCAACTCGTGTCAAAATTAACTGAAGAAAATCAAAAGATAGCATGCTCTGACATGCATGATGAACGGAAAATAATTGATCTTCCATCTAAAGTAACTACTGCTCTATCAACAACTTTAGTAACTGATGAATATAATGCCCAACAAGAATATATCAATGAAATGGTGAATACGTTATCAGATGGCATTGTAACATTAAATGATGACTTACAGCGACTGAGTAGTGAATCATTGCAACAGTCTCAATTAATAGAGATGACTAGTCAAAGTTTAACACAGTTAAAAACATCATGTGAAGAATCAAATGTTGGTCTAAATGCATTTAATACTAATATGAGCATCCTTCAACAGGATTACTTTTCTTTAAAACATAAAATCGAAGAGACACAATCAATTTCTTATGATGGAATATTAATATGGAAAATTACCAATATTCAGGAGAAAATGAGTACATATTCAGATATTTTTTATTATTTTGATGCAATGCATATAATTGTTGTAGCCTTTAGTTTCAATAATAGATGAAATACATTTTAGATAATTGTAGATTTTTTAAAAAGATAAAAAAAAGTAAATATCATTTTTCAAACTGAAGAAATTTCAATATTGCTCATTTAAAAACTGAATACAATATAGAGTAGAATTTATTATATTTTAATAGAACTATCTATTTTTAGTTGATGCTCAATCTGAACGTCAAGTGTCTATTTATTCACCACCGTTTTATTCTTCGCTGACAGGATACAAAATGTGTGCTCGTCTTTATTTGTATGGCGATGGAAATGCGCGTCGTACTCATATATCTCTCTTTTTCGTTTTAATGCGAGGTTTACATGATTCTTTGCTTAAGTTTCCTTTCACTCACAAAGTTACATTTTGTTTATTTGATCAAACTGGCGAACAACAACATATCATTGATTCATTTCGTCCTGATCCAAAGTCAAGTAGTTTTCAAAAACCACGTTGTGATATGAATATTGCAAGTGGAATTCCAAAATTCGTCTCGTTAGACAAAATTCAACAGCAAAATAATCGATATATTAAAGAGAATACCATGTTCATCAAAGTGATGGTAGATTTTGAAAATTTGCCCAAGACAATGATACCTTTTGCCGTAGGTTTAAATCCGGGTCTACCAACATATTGTCAACAACGAATGATACAACAAGAAATAGAACGAAGGGTACAATTGCAATCTCAAAAAAAATTGACAAGTAATGCAGTGACTACCAATAGCAATTTGTCGATAAGCAATCAATAATAATTTGATGGCAGTAATAAAATGAAGAAATAATTGAAATTGTACAAATGCCATATCAAAATAATAAAAAAAACAATCATTGAAACTCATACATATTATATTCGAAACTAATTATTGTTCTTTTGGTCGATTTGAGTTACTCATGAGAATATATCAAATATGAAATTTTATTATTTATTCCTATCATTGTAAGCTATAAACAAGAAAAAAACTTTCTACACGTGCATACATACCAAGGTGAGATAAGAAAATGGAAGGCAAATGAAAAAAAGAGACGCGCGACTATGTAATAACCAAGTAGAAGAAAAATATAAATAGTCAATGTCATTCATTACTCATTCTGCCTTCCCCTCCTCAAACTGCATACTTCTCTACTTGGCAAAGTATATAAGATGGATGATGTAAAATTATGCAGATAAGAAAAGTTTATTAACAAAAGAAAAATGTTTTACGTGAAAGTCGACTCATGGAGAACTTATCATAGTTAACTACTTAGTACGGACTGATGATGCAGGAAGCGATGCGATTGTGTGTGTGTGTTTTGATTGTTATCGATGCCCATAATCAGGAAAAAATCCAATTAACAACATGTGAAATGCATTGAAAAGATTAGCAAGGATGATTGTTTTTATTAATACTGAGCATTGATTTCTGATTCGTTTGCTTTGTTGAGTATCGTAAAATAAAGAGTAGAGAAAGAATAATGATATCTAAGAAGTACCCGTAAAATCAACATGCAGATCTTAAACTTATACACAAAATCAATCATGAGAAATATGAAACATTGAGGAAGACGATGGATAAACTAAATAATAATGCATAGTTTCACTATCAAAAGTGTAAGACTTTGTTCAAAGTTATATAGCAATAAACTTTAGTGATAAGGAAGAAGAACAAAACTCAGATGAATTCAACAAAAACCAATTCTTGGTTTCAATAATAAAGTATTATCATATCGATAATGTCTGCGATAAATCATTTTGACAAAAAATAAAAATAAATGAACACCATTATCACATTCTATTCATCAGAGTATTTATAACTAATAGATTGCCGATAAAATTTCTTTATCGAGAACGACATTTGTAGATTAGATAAATTATAAAAGAACGAAATTCCTTTTTAAAACGAAAAAAAAACTGGATGAAGTACAGTGAGAATATCGAAGATGTGCAAAGATATATCGGCGTTATTATCTACTCTTTATTGTAATATGCCTCTAATGCATAATAAATACGAAGAGTGAGAAAGAGAAAATAGATAAGCAAAAATAATTCTTCAAGACAATATGACTATAACTTTTTATAATTACGATATCTATCAAAATTATTCAACAACGTTAATTTTCAACTGTCTGATTAGCAAATTGCCAACGATGAAGATATCATAGCAAACGATTTTCTGCAACGATTTCTAGCTGAGATACAACAATGATATGGATAAATCTAACGTAGGTTTTTAATCGTTTTTGGCATTAAAGACAGTCGAAAACAGTTCAAAATAAGCCTTATTGAATAATTTTGATAGTCACTGTGTATATTATATCTATTAGAAATACTAAGACCGATAACAATTTCTCAAAATATTAATAGTATAATATTTTACTTTTTTGAGTGTAGAAGATTTATCAAGAATGGAATGAAAGATGTACCCAATCGTTGTATTTTATAACTATCAATGGTTGTGGTATGTACACTTATATTCTGATACTAGCAAATCTGAGGATAGTCTTCGTTATGATTTAAAATTGAGTAAATAAAATTCAAAATGTATGATTAAGTACATATTTTTTCGTCTAGTTTACAATGGAATCTAAATCTGGATCGGCCTTTTTGAAAACATATTACCTACAGGTATAAGTGAACATTTTGTTGACAAAAATAATTATGTATTAAATTTCGGTATATATTGTGAAAATACTTGTTCAGACAAAAACAATTGAATTTATTTTTAGGAAAATATATTTAGAATTAAGTATAACTCAATCAGACCTTCAGTTACACTGGAGTTCCATTTTACAAGTCTGATTTGAAGCTGACCTTTAAAATAGTCGAGTTTGAAACTTTTCAAAACAATAAAAAATCATCTACCAGTCATTCAGTAACTGAAAATGGATGAAAATGAATTTATTATTGATTTCATTTTTGTTTTTAATTACTAGAAATCAATACAAAGCTGATGTAATCTTGCCTAAGTATCCGTTTGTAATATCTATTTTCATGATCAGATCAAAAAACAAAAAATCAGTTAGATTTAACGAACCTTCGAGAAAATTCGATCACAATATTTAGAACTTGTAGTACCTTTGTTGTCGACATAGGTTTCATCAAGTTTTTCTTTGAAGAATCATGATTATGCATGAGTTTCGTACAATCATGTTTCAGATTTCAAATATGATGATCACTAATAGAAAAAACACGATATGGATCGTATCTTGTTTTTTTACAAATCCTGATTTTGGCCATACGAGGACAATTAAATATATAAAGATAGTTACAGAAAAAAAAACAGAAACCTATAATCAACAATTAGTGGAAAAGTTATGAATGTCAAACGATTTGGCACGATAAATTTCTCGTTCTCAACATTGTCTGCATATTCGCCCGTGTATTGATGAGGAATCACTCACTTTCGTGACCTCTCATATTATGTACCAACAATCCGAGGCCGCCATCACAGGATCTGGTCTTATATATATTTCATCTATTAAATAAAAACAGAATATTATAATTAAACAAGATCCAATAGGACAATGACTAAGACCCTAGCAACAAAAACAAACAAATTGAGAGAAAATTCATTTTTCTAATTGATTCCATCAAAGTATAGGAACCCAGTGATTAATTTGCAAATGATGCGACCCAACCTATGAATTCATGAACCTACTATCTTAAAGATGCGCTATCTTTACCCATCCATCTGATTATGCGTCGGATGTGGATTATATTTCATTGGAGGCAAAACATCAATCTAGTGGCATTTCAGGTTCAAACCATAATTATAGGGTATAGGCACTTTCGATGATGATCTTACTTATTCACCTGTTCATTTAAACGTAGCATTCATTCTTCTGAAATCAAAACTCATCGATGTGCTATTCAATAATCACGATGAATACATTTCCATCATTCCACTTGATTACACGGAGTCGACATAGATTTAAAATGTAATAAAAAGCTTGTCCCATTATTTAAAATTCAGTAATTCAAAAGATGCTTATTTGTAGCAATACTCATTGTACATTCGACTAATGCTGTGTTGATTGGCAATGTGAAAGAAACCACGTATTTCTGTTTTAGATCAAATCACAAGAAAAAAAAGACAAAAGATCAAAAGATAACGTGGTTAAAAAACACTACAATTAAACTTCTTGTATAATATGACTTGGAAACAGAGTGAGAGCGGTTGAAGACAAGCCAGAAACATCCACGAACATTCGCACCTACACCCATATCCTCATGTCCAGTATCAGGAAAGTCAGTTTAGAAGTAGTCCATGTCATCAAAAGAAATCAGAATTGTATTTGATTTTGTTCAAGAGCTTTACCAAGATGTTCTTTTTCTTGATCATCGATTTCATTGCCACGAAGGTGTCGTGTAGTTAGTGTCTGTTTTGAACCGGTACTGAACAATACATAGGTAAAGTCGGAATATTACTTGGTTTTGTTCGAGAGCCTTGGTAAGATGCTATGCTCCTTGATCGCTGATTTTATTCGAAAAGAGGTCCAGTGTGCTTATTGTCTATGTGTGGAAATAAGAAAGTTGAAATTATTGAAAGAGTTCACGAAGGGATATCATAATGGGATCTATAATTGATTATTATTGCGTTAATTAGTAAATTTTTTACTTAGTTCATCCACATCGGAATGATTTTTTTTGAGAGAAGAAAGACTGGAAAATACCAGCAAGTATATAAACTTTTGTAGAGCATGTAAACTGTCTTCAAATTATGATGAAATTCATAATACGAATTTTAAAGCTTTGGAAAAAGTAGTGAAGTCCAGTGTAGACGGAAAAATTCTGAAACAATAAACCCTAATGCTCGTCAATGTTTGACGTAGAAGAACGAAAGTTTCTCATCGATGGGAAAAGCTATTCGCACTCTCATGTTCGGTAGACCGTTGGACTCCTTATTTTGTTTCTTAAACGTTGTTAGAGTTGCGTTTGTTGTTTTAGTTAATGTCCAATGGAAAGAAACGGCTCATACATCGCTCTGTATCAGTAATGTGATAGTGTTATAAAGACATTGTTCCTGCAAAAGATTGATCTTAGCAGTGTTTTCGTTACTTCGATTTCAATGATGATCTTTGAAATGTAGCTTTTGAGTATGATTACCTTCGGATTCTTTAAATTATCGTCATCTCAACGAATGGTACTTATTTTCGTGACTATTGGATTATTACTAATGGCGTTTTTTTTAGTTAACTTCAACTATTGTCAGTGGTCAATTACCGTTTTTGATGGGTACTTTAAGTATAAGTAGTTTCAAACAATCGTAAAAATTATTCGATTTGATATAATAATGAATGGTTAGTCAAAAAAAATACTGTAATGAGACTGTATATAGATTGCTATCTTAGATAAATGAATTATATGTTAAAGATGATGAAAGTCAAGTTTTCAGATATAATAGTATTTTTCTTGTTATCGATGGTAGCTGTCGACAATTGCATGCATACGTGTACAAACGTTTCACGTCGAGCATAAAATATCGAAATCATCAAGCTTATCAAGAATTTGATAGACAATTTCTAACCTATTAAAATGGCTTCTCATCAAAGTAAAATTAGGAATTCTTTCATATCGTAACTATGTGTTTGTTTTAATGCTTTCAAATTGGATATAAATTTCGAGTAGCTATATTAGTTTTGATTAGAAAAAATTCAAGTCAAACGGATGTAATCTTTCCGAGTTATTAAAATTTCTAAATACGTCGAAATTAACGCTAAATGCTATTTTGATAACAAGCCATTTTTAATAGTTTGAAAAAAGAATCAAAAATTAATATCTCAAACTACTTCCTAAATTTTATTTTAAACATGCATTTTAAAGTACATACTTTACTCTATTTGTGATTGAAAAAGTTAGGTTTATCGCATTTTATGTTTGAACACGACAAGCCTCTACATTTATGCGGATACTTGTATATTGTAGATTAATATTGAATATTTATTGAAAGCAATCTAAACAAACAGTAGATGTTCGTATAAAATGTCTAAAGTATTTTAACTAATTAACAATTCTCACACAAGCAATCATGATATTAACAGTGTTCATAAATGTTATCAATGTGTCTTCAATATTCATTATTAAATCGAGTTGTTCAATGAAGTTCATAGTAAATTACTGATGTGAAGATCTGCAAAAAGTACCGTACTATAGTAAAGTCCTTTTTTCTTGTCTCTCTCTCTTTAGATTGTGTAGCATTTAATTTATGAAATATATATTTGACACAAACAATTTTATTCATAAATTATGAGTTACCATGTGCATATTTATGCTTATTATTTAATTAGCTGATGTGTAAATATACTTATCATTACATCATATTGATTATATGATCATTATCTTTATACAAAATTTTCTCATTTAGGCGATGATAATAAACATAAAGATTTATTAAATTAAGCATAAATTAATATTCTTTCACAAATTTATTTTTATTTTAATCATTTAAAATTTAAATGACATTTTATCTTTAAAAATTCTATAAATGAATTGATTATGTATTCAATATTAGAAGTAATAAAATAAAGACACAGATAAAACATAACAGGATATACATTCTGTTCTAGTCCGATTTGTTTCTCAGATTTATGCAGTAGTTATCTAGTTGATGATCAATCTTCAATATTCATAGGTTATATAATAAAATACGTTTATCGTTATTATTATAATCACTGGAAAAGTCAGTTGATATTCAATTTATATTTCATTCATGAAATATTTATTTTCATTATAATTTAAATTCAAATGTCGACTAATATAATTTATAAATGTTTTTTGCATAACATAACCATAGTTTTGTGGATTAATTTTGTTTTCAACATTGGTAGTTTTTGTAATCTGTAAACAACAATCATTAAGACGACAAAGTACTTGATGACCATATTGCGATGAAATGAATCTATCATCTTATTGATTTATATCAGTTTTATTTTGACAAATAAGATAATCTATATGATCATGATGTGTTACATTATGATTTATCATGATAATAATATTAAGAAATTCATCTAATGAAGGTGTATTAGGTTAAGATTTAGGTCAAGTTTTTGAAAATCTGGAACAGTTTGTTCTTTCATATGATATGTATTTTGCATTTTGTTATTCCCAATAGACAACAATACAACAAACTCATCCATATTCATTACAACATCACGTCCAGTCACCTGGGCATAATCAAAAGAAAAAACATTCGATTTTGGTACGTGATAGACCAATAGTTTGTGCTAGCTAGTTCATCATCCATTCACTATATTTTGCACGAGCTGAATGAGCTTCTATCAATATATATATATATTTATATGTCTATTAGATAAGTTGTGAAATATAATGTAAGAATAGGAAAGAATATCGATCATAAATGTCGATAAAAGTCATTAATCAATACAAGACAAAAATTTTCTGACAAGAATATTTTCTATATACAATAACATATTTTAATATAAGCAACATCTATGTAATATCTCTAATTTTTAATATTTCAAATCCAATATAACAATGAAACATGTTTATATATATATATATATGAATATGATAAGGAGAATAAGATTAAATATTTTTTCGTATTATTCCACGGTATAATTGTTTTTTTTCTGTGCCTAGATCGATATGAATAATCATACTTATTAAACATTGTAAAAATTCAACATAAAACTTATTTATTGAGAGGATGATCGGTAATAAAAACTTATCTGTAAACAACATATTTTTTCTGTCAATATCGAAGGATTTTATTCGGACAAGATTTTCTTATCATATACCTTGAAGATATCTTTGATGTATTTCATCGAGCAGAAAACTTTCGAAAAATTATCTATCGTTCAGTTTCTTTTTTTATATTGAATTATGTATTTATTCTTAAAATAGGTAATCAATTCGTATATTAAAAAATATATAAATTTTTTAATAGTAAAATTAATATTCATTTTAAATATAAATAGTCTATAGAAGTTATAAAAGATTATGGCTATGACGATTATAAGCTTTTTGTTGTGAAATATAATCCATAATATCTTCTTGAGTAACATAACCAAGATTTTCTAAATCAATTTGTTTCCAACATTGATGTTCTGTGCCTGGTGGTAAATCATAATAATCATTAAGACGACGAAAGATTTGATGACCATACTCTGATGAAATACGTCTATCACTTTGTTGACGCCCGTATGTATTATTTTGACGAATAAGATAATCAATACGATCAATACGAGATATATCATGATTCATCATAACAATAGCATTAAGAAATTCATCGAATGAAAGTGTACCAGAACGATCTCGATCAAATGTTTCAAAGGCACGAACAGTTTGTTGTTGTAAGTCTTGTTGACGTTCTTCACCATATAAACGAATGTAAACATTAACAAATTCATCCATATTTAATGCTCCATCATTTTCAGTTGTTTGAAAACATTCTTGTTGAATATCTCGAATTTGTTGAATAGATAAACCAGTCATTTGTTCGATTTCACTCCAATCCCATTCATTGATATCTGGGCGGGATGAGCGAGCTCCCATGTTTTTGTTTTGTATATTTATGCAATTATAAAGGTATGTATATTTGTGTATTATAATGTAACAGGTTTATTTACATGTTTACTTTGATAAATAATGGATCGAGTCAATGAAGCATATAATAAAAACCATACATACTATCGTAATTGGAGGATGAACAATCAATGATAAATTAGTGAATCTTCTTAATTTATACAAAAATTATCGAACACAATTGTACTGTTAGTGTTTTGATCTATACATTGGATATACATATGATAATGATCAATCTAGGTTTTTGTTTTTCAAAATATGAATATTTATTTTTGAATTTAGACGACATATTACATTATTTAGCTTTAGATTATTCTTCTATATAGAGATAATTGAGTTAAATTAATTAATGAAGAGATCAATATACCATTAGTTATAAAGTTAAAATTCAGAAACAAAAAAAGAGCTTCTATTCTTTTGTTTATTAACAAATGTACAATTGGTTTTTATTGAATAATCAAATACAAATAACTCAATTATGTTGATATGATATTGTTTTACATACACATTTTATTACATAAAGTTTAATATATTTCAAAGAATATATATTTATATTTCATAATATATTTATTGTCACGAATAGCTTTTATTAGTTCTATGCTTGGCCACACGTCCATTTCCGTCTTTTCTCATATTCATCCATCATTCATCTTTTTCTTTCTGGATGGCGCGAAAATGACGTTACTGTCACTCGGGTGTGTGCACATAGCCAAAGATCATATTCCACAACATAACATGCTCGTCATCGTTGCGCACACACGTCTGACTTTTGCCTTCATGTAGGCTCCGACAGAGAGAGAGAGAGAGAGAGCACACATACACACACGTAAAGTAAATACACCAACGGGAGTTGATGCGATACGGAAAAACCTATATGACTACACTCAACTTTTCCTCTTCGTCATTGCGTATGTGTGCGCGCTCTCGTTCGTTCCTGACGAACAACATTGGAGTAGAATAGAAGATACTACTACTGCTTTTTTCACCGCCATCATCGGTCGTCAATTTTCCGAGCGCGAGACACACTTTTTTTTCTATCCCGTCCGCTTTTTCGCCTCTTTTTTCTTTTCTCTTTCTTTTATCGTTGTCGAGCGTGTCTTGCTTTCCATAATGTGTGTCGGAGTCCAATTAAACTCGAAAATATGCTGTTAAATTCTGCTATTCTGTCGGATAGCAACGTTCGTTCTTTTATGTTTTAAGAATTAATCTTTCTCCTCGGTGTCGTTACGATTCCAATCTGCTGACGATAGTAGTATAATGGTGAACTCTTTATCTTTTCTTCTTTGTTATTTCTACAACGACGTAATATAAATCTAATGTTGTACAGCGTCCGTTCTTTTCCCTATTCGCAACGTTTCGTAGTGGGAGCACATGTAAGCAAACGAGCGGGCGCGCATGCGGAAGTTCAAGAAAAGAGAATATATAAATGTATATATATATATATATATGTAAAGATAGTCGTTGTGTATGTATGTGTGCAGTTTTTGTACATATTCTACATACACACATTTCCAGACGACTCTGTTTCTCTTTTCTTTCTGCGAGAAAAATCTTTTTTCCGACGGTTGACTGTCCTTTGTTTTCTCTACAATTCCGTTCCCTTTCTCCCTCTTTTCTCTCTTTCTTCACTATTATTAATATTGAGAAGGCATAAAAGAGTTCGTGTGTTTTCCATTCGTTTTCGGCTTCTTCTTTTTTTTTTTCCTTCTTTTCTGTCTCTCTACTCCTGACTCGCATTGATATATGTTTGCAGACGCCAAATGCGCGCATACACATACAGAAAAAAAAAGACCAAGGGTGAGGAAGACGAACACACAATAGAAGAGAAAGAATGGTGTTACTACTGTTGAACACAACTCTTCTCTTCTTTCCACTTTTTTTTTGACTCCGCTCGCTGAAAAAAAAAGTCGAATTGAGCACTTTGGAAGCAAACAGAAAAAAAGTTCGTCGCGTTCTCTCTTTCTTTGTCTGTTTGTCTCTCTCTCTCTCTCTCTCTCTCTGTCGTTTCTGGATACATACTTTTTTTTTGTCATTCATTTCACTGTAAAGAAAAAGGTAGTAGTAGGTGAGTGAACTTATTCTATCAACGTTTTTTTTTTGTAAGAAGAACAAGCAATAGCGAAAGTAGGTTATAATGATAAATAAAAAACGAATGGCGCCCTTTCAAAAAAAAAAAAAAAGAACTGCTGTTGCCATCTTTTCATGCATATATAGATATATTCACTTTTACTTGTCTCTATTTTCGTCCGTGACTTTCATCTATCAATCATGTTCACATTGTTGGTATGAGAATAAAAATTTTCAAATTATATAGTTCAAAAAAAAAAATAAAAAAAAAAATAAAAAGAACTGAAGTTTTTTTTGTTAATAAAATTTTTAAGTTTACTTTTCTTTTATAGCCGTTTTCTATTTCCATGAGTGATCATAAAACGACAAATTTACATGCACCGCCACTATTAGGCTCGGTAGCGACTACTTTAATTAATCAACATCATCAAAAAATTGAATCGATCGATTATACAGCTGATGAAAGTATGATAGCTGTAAGTTAATAAATTTTTTCTTAGATATTTATAAAAAGAAAATAATATCATCTATTTCTTACATAAAAAAAAAAAAAAAAAACAGGACTTTATGGCTGTTTTACCTCAACTTGATCCAAATGATTCGTCATCAGCAGCAACATCACCAACATTAAAAATCAGAGGACAATCATCAAATGAATCATCAAAAATACTCGGTAAATTCGATGCATTTGCTGCTGCTGTTCAACAACAACAACAAAATGGTATATCTATAGCATCAGCTCTTGTTAAAAAAGTTCAACAACAATTATTACCAGCAACATCTGGTTTATCAACTGTTCAATCATCATCATCATCGTCATCATCACCATCAACAATAAATCAAATCGATTATCAAAGTCATACAAATACTACTAATAATAATAAACGAAAACGTAAAGTTGAACGTCCAGCACAAAAACGTATACGTGGTTCATATAAACTTGTTTCACCTGAACAAAAAATAATAATACATGAATATGCTGAAAAACATGGTGTTAAAGCAGCATCAAAATTATTTCAAGTTGCACCATCAACTATAGCATCATGGTTATATCAAAAACCAAATGGTGAACGTACATCAGCTATACGTAATAAAGAAGCACATTCAAGTATACTTCAATGGATTCAAACACGACAAGAAAATGGTGAACGCGTAAATAATCGTGATTTTCATTCGTATGCATTATCAACAATGAGAGACTTAACTGGAAATCCAGATTTTGCTGCATCACGTTCATGGTGTTCAAATTTTCTTAAAAAATATAATATTCAATTGGATAGGTAAGAGAAAAAAATAATAAACAAACTAATTCAAGTATCTAATAAAACAGTGATCAATTGTTCATGTATATAAATTTATGTGTGTATATATTTAATTTATTTTTGAGAAAAAAACAAAGAAGAATATAGATGATTAGTTTTTCAATGATATATTAAAAATGTTTTTTTTTTAGTTTATTTTGCATTTATGTTTTCGTTTTATTTATTTTTTCTTTCTTTCTAGCGATAAACAAGCCGATTCAACATCGGCACAATTTCGATTTGATTCTATTGATGAAAATGCTAGTGGTAAGTAATATTATTTGTTTTTTTCTTTACATGATTATTAGAAAAAAAAAGAAGCATCAATAAAAAACATACTGATCCATGAATATCTTAATCGGTCTTAGTCCGCAAGCGATATTATACTCTATGAACTGATGTTTCATACACCTGACTATTATCAATTCCAATGAACACTTCTATAAAATGTAGTTATTCATTGTCATGAACATCAATAGGTTTTTTTTAAAATTTATTATGATTAATTACTTAGTGGCGGAGCTAGGAGATGACTGAAGTGGGGGAGGAACTCAACCCTCTCCAAAAATGTAACGTTATACCTTAATTTCGGCTTCAAATAGAGATTGAGTCCTTCTACAGCCATCAGCTGTTTATTAGATCCCGAAAATTTCATGTGATTTATCTTACTTTTATAATATAAAACTAAAATTTAGATATATTTTCTCTTCAGAGAGTTCTCAATGTTATATGGGTGATAATAGTCCAGCTGATGTTTTAACAGATGAAGATGATAGTGGTCAAAATCTTCATATATCACATGATGATGATGATGATGGTAATCAAACAAGTCCACATAGATTCTCAGCAAGTGATTATAATAATAATCATCAAACAAATTCAAATAATTGTGTATCACCATCATCACAAACAAAAATATTAAATGGAATAGATAATGTATCAACAACGACAACAACAACTGTGATTAAAGTTGAACAAGATAATGATTGTAATTATTCATCATCACCATCATCACCATCAATTCAAACATTACCAAATAAAATATCTGTAACAACAAGTTTACCTGTTTCATCATCTTCATCTATAGCTGGTAAACGTCTTACTGGTACACTTAATCGATTATTACATTCAGCTATAAATCGACCAAATGGACATCATTATCATCATCATGTTAATGGTGTATCATCTTCACCATCAGCATCATCAACAACAACATTAGTTGCTGATTCAACAGCTAAAGAACCAAAAACAAGTTTAGAAATGACAACACCAGCTATTGAAAGTATGTTTATATAAATATATTATTTTAAATTTTTAAAATTTTTTTTTTGTTTTTAGCTTTTGTACAGCATTTTGATAGTTCATTTAATACAATGACTTATTTTCAAGAAAAACTTCAACAATTACTTGTTTCTATTGCACGTAAGAATATTCTATTTAGTATTTTTGTTTTTGAATTCAATTAATGTTTTCTTTTTTTTTTTTCTAGAAGAACGAGATACATATCGAACACTTTATCTTAAGGAACATGATCGTCGTTTAGCTGCTGAATTACGACTTAAAGAGAGTAACAATACAATAGCCTAGTCAATCAAAAAATTCTGTTTTTTTTTTTGTTTTTTATTCCCTCCCGAATCTATTTGTGCCAGAAAAAAAAAACTGTGATCTTTTACTCTTAAACGAAAACAGACAACTGCCAGAATCTTAACATTTTGTTCTTTTAACGAAAAACAAACAAAAAATCAAAGTCAACATTAATTGTTTTCTTTTTAATTGCAATATCCGTCTTTATTACATTTTGTGTGTGTGTGCGTGTGCTTTGTTTTATAGCTATGTTTTTTTTTTTTTGCTTTGTTCGAGTGTGTCTCTTCGTTTTCTTTTCTCTTCAGCAGTATAATTTTACTCACATTTGTTGTGTTGTGTGTAATTCTTTTTGCTACAATGACATGTGTTTGTATATCTTGTTCTAGTCATTTTTTTTTCGGTTTTATAACAGAAAAAAAAACAAGAACAACACGAACATTAAAATTGAATATAAATGAAAATTTTGTTGTGATTATTATAGCATTTTGTATTTAAAGATTTTGTTTTGTTTTTTAGAACTTTATAAATCTAAGAAAATAATCTTCTAGGTTTTTTTTTAAAATTCAATATGATTATTTTACAATGATTAAATGAAGAATAACTAAAGGAATATACGTCTAGACTATATGAGTCTCATAGAAATCTACTAATGGATATTCAAGAATAAATTGCACTGAATGTTGGTGCCTTCTTTTCTTACTTTCTAAGCATAAGATTTTAACGACCTTTTCAAAGTTTTCAAGGCTAGCGCTTATGAGAAAAACATTTGAAGCTGAGAATTGTCGATATTTTTGAGAGCATTTTGAAAAATCATATTTTCAGAAGCGAGACTTGTTCTATGAAATATTTATTATTATGTTGTCGAAGATAACAAAAACGATACTGTTTCTCCTAAATATTTTTCTAAAATTCTGAAACATGCATTCAGAAATGTAGAGTTTGATGAGATAGTTGAAAATTCACCAGAAAAATTATCACCAGATTTTTTTTTTTAGTCTTGAACGTTGCAGTTGTACGATTAAATAGCTAGAAAAAAATCGATAGCTTAGTCAAATCTCAATAGAATTCCAAATCCTTTTAGAGTTTTTATTAGAACACTGTATAGTATCCATAAGTAAAAACATCATTGAAACCAGAAGAAGGTAGCTGGAGAAATTCCCTCGCCAGTAGAACACAATGTGAAACAGTTATCAAAATTCACCAAAAAAAAAAATAGTTCCGAGTGATTGAACTATATTGGAGAAATGTTCAATTTAATTTTCTCATTGTTCATATAATAAAAGTAACTTTAAACATGTAAATTGACCAATGAACATTATTTAATAATAAAATTTTTGTTTGTCTTTTCTTCTGAGAATTTTTAGACATTTATCGTTTCCTTAACAAAATAGAAATCGAATAACAACAAAAAGAACAACAGAAAAAAAAATAGACCCATATAGAAACAAACAAGAGATTGCGAAAGTCAATTTCAAGAAAAAAAAAACAAATTAATCAAGTTGAATTTTTGTCATTAGAATCACTATCAATATCTAATAAACGAGCTTTCTGTTCAATAATTCTTGTATCAACATAAAATTCATTTGAATCTGGTTTGGAATTAGGTAAAAGTAAACAAAACATTAATCCAATAGTGGCAAGTAAAGCACCAAAAAGGAATGGAGGACCGGGAACATCACGGCTAAGCATTGATGAATAATTTAATTTGTCACTAATATGTATTGTTGTACGATTTGCAGATGTCGACATTGTTGATGTTACTGTTGGTACTGATTCATTTAAATTAACATCAAATAAATAAAAAATAAAACCAAATAGAGCTGGACCAAGACCATTACATAAACCACGTACACCATTAACCATACCTTGGACAAGACCTAAAACAAAAATAAATATAAAAAAAAAACGAATTTTTAATAATTTCTTACCTTGTTGATTATCTTTAGCGTAAATAGAAACAAATGCACTTATAGATGGATAAGTTACAGATGATAATGCTGCTAAACCACCGGCAAACCACATCACCCTAACATAAAAATCATTTATCAAATTAAAATTTTTTTTTTTCCTTTTTCTATCCTACCAATTTGATGTAGCTATTCCATAAGCTGCTAATTGAACAATTTGAAAAAATAATCCAACCATAATTGTTTCTTTCGAACCAAAATAACGTTGTAAACAAGCTAATAATGCTGTCTAAAATTAACATAATTATTAATTTTTTGAAAAAAAAAATAATAAAAGTAAATCTTCTTTACTTGAGCAATACATGAAAAAATACCAACAAATGCAATGAAATAAGCTATTTCATCTTCTGAAAATGCAAGCATCTATATAAAAATATAGCACATATATTAATTCAGGAAATATACAGTACGTATTAAAATTATTCAACAAGGTTTATTTTTCAATTTTTCTTCTGCTGTCATAAGCGTTTGAAAAGAATTCAACTAGCAGAAAATGATTTTCAACAAAAATATAAGGAAATAAAAAATGATTATCAGATTCGCAAAGATAAGGAATCTTAAAAAAAAGCAAAACTCTAGTTTTTCATTACCAAAAGCACGTAAACATAATTTTATTTACACTACATAGAAATTGTATTGAAAGTCAAAAAAATGGTTCTTCTTACAGGAAATTGGAGAAAAAAAAATCGACTTTAGCGTCTTCTTTAAGATTGTTGTATCTCAGCCAGATCAAAATCACAAAAAACTCGAAGATATTTCATTCTGTAAAGAATTATTTACTCTATCAGTCTATGTAGTCTAAACAAAATTATACATATGCGTTCGAAGTGCTGCAAAACTAGTCTTATAGTTTTCTGGAGTCTATTTTCTTGTATTCTTTTTGGAAATAATTTTCTACTATTTGAATTCTTTCTCACACTTACAGATAGCAGTGAGGAAAAAAATTGAAAATAAACCTTGTTGAGTAGTTTTAGTGCCCATTGTATATAAACATAACTTACTAATCGTAAATAAACAAAAAAACATGAATATTGTCCTGCTTCTATAAATGAATAATAATAAAAATAATTAATTAATTATATATAATTTCTTACCGGGAAGATAAGATAAAAGAACAATAAGACAAATAAGACAAATAAAACGATCATTTGTAATATTTCTAAGAGCCTAAATATATTTTAATAATATATTAAAATGAATATGAATATGAAAACATACTGCAAATGGATCAATTTTATCCCAAGATATTTTTTGATCTGTTCGTAATCGTTCCGGCAATGATTCGGGTACAACAAAAAAGATATATATTAAATCAAGAATAGCAACTACTGTACCTAATTAAACCAAAAAAAAAAAATCAAATAAAAAAGAAAAACAATAAAAAAAAATATAAACATACCAAGTGCAATAACAAAATTTTCACTATAAAGTCTTGCTAAATGAGCACCAATAGCTGGACTTGTAATTAGTGATGCAGCAAATGTTGCTGTTACTAGACCTAAAATAAAAATAATCATTTAAATAAATACACAACAGATGAAATTACACATACCATATGCAGTACTTCTGGAACTTTCATCAGTTACATCCGCAACATATGAATAAACAACGCTGAATGTCACAGAAAAAAGACCACTGATACTAATCAATGCAAAATACCACCTAAAAAACAAATTCAACATTATATCAATTATACTTCTGATCAGAAAAAAAAACCGAAGCAACATTTGATTTCAAATAGGTATCAATTAGCATAAACGTTGACAGAAGTAAAATGCAATGAAAAAAGATTTCACATATGTAGAAACAAAATCGATTCAACGATCAAGTCTCTTCAGCTTATAGACGAAATATATTTAAGCAAAGATTGGTTTTTAATAAATCTAATTGTATGATACCGTGATCAGTTTTACACTCAACTAAAATAAAATACTCGAGTTATTCTTTTAATTAACACTCACTTGAAACCAAACATTGCAATATATATAATTAGAAAAAAGAGGAGAAACTTTTGTCTAAGAATGTTTTATTTACATTGGGCTTATTTTCATTAATGGAATTGGACAACATGTGAAAAAGACTGTAATCAGTAAAAATGATTTCCTTCCCCATACATCCGAATAGGCACCAAGTAATGGTGAACTTAAGAATGTTAATAAACCTCTAAAGAAAAAAAAAGAGAACAAGAATTTGAAATCATAAAGATTATATATTATGTTATTTACTTTACTCCATGAATGACGCCATTCATTAGAAATGTATGAGTTGGAAATGTTCGATTGAGTGTCTGGAATAAATTATAAGTTTTTAAAATCAAGAAAAATAAAACATTAAACTCTCCTACCGAAATAACTGGATTCGTAAGAAGACCCCATGCAAAAAATTCAAGAAAGATTACAACGAGTCCATGATAAACACTTGGTTTACCAAAACCACCGGGCTAAAACAAAAACAATACAAAATTTAAGAAAAAAGATTATAGTAAAAAACATAATTTTTCTTAAATTTATCAAAACAAAAAGAATAAATGATATACTTTAATTATTCTATATCGTCTATTTTCAGATTTGACACATTTTTCTCCATCATTATCCGTATGTAGCGTTTCATCGAGATCGGTGACATGATCTGTCATGGCCGATGACGGAAGACGCCGTAAATCGTTTGATACCACTATTGTCGCCAGTGAATTATTCACTTATATATGCTTAGACAAATCAATAGAATAGGAAAATAACAAAAATGAACCAATAACACGACGAAAAAAAAAATATATTTTAATTTATATGAAAATATTTATATATAAAAAGGAAGACGGATTTCATTTAAAATAATATATTCTATTTCATATAAAATATGATAATAAGCACAAAAAAAAAACAAATATATATATATACATATATATATGAAAAATCTTACCAAATTACTACGAGCAATATGATTACTAGCACTGGTTAAACGACGACGCTTTTTTATGACAATCATAATTATGTTTAACCAGACCGAAGAATAAAAATATTGTGATGTGTTCTTTTTTTCTCTGTTCCACTTCAAAAATGCTCGTCATATATTCTAAGCCACACCTTATTTTCTCTACGATAAAAAGTGCCCCTAACACACCACCTGATAACAACTGATGCGACCCCCTACAAAAAAGAGAAAGAAAAAAAATGCAATTGGAACATAAATTCAATGATTCATCAAAATTAGTTTCTTCTGCATGTCGAAGATTTCTATTGGAAATTTGTCTTGACTAATACGATAATTTGATAGAGAGCGTTAGAGAAATCATCTCAAAGAATATATATTAACAACAAATCATCAAATAACAATGATCAATAATTTTTCTTTTAAAATCTTTTCTAATAAAAAAAAAAGAAGCAAAAACTAATACTTACTCATCAATCTTTCATTTTTAATAAATCATATTGTTTAGATTTTGAACGCTTTTTTTTTTCTGAACAGATGCAAGCGTGTTGCATATCTCGTTTAACTTCAAACACAATGAAACGAGCATGTCCTATTGTACGAAAATTATTACAAGCAGGTTAATTAATTGTAATTATATAAAAATAAACTATCATATCTTTATTAGAAAGTTCACGTACAACAAATTTATTTCGTTGTTCATCAACAGGAACTGATCAACAAAAACCAAATGATGAGAAAAAGAATAATATGACAAATTTAATTTATATTCTTGGAGGATTAACAGGTGTTGGTATAATTTATTCTGTGGTATGTTTTTTTCTTTAATGTTGATTTATTTATTATTAATTAAATATTGAATTGTTTAAGTTTCGAAATCGAAAAATTTCTCGAGAAAAACAACAAGCATTTGAAAAATATGATGAAACTAATAAAACACTTGTTGAAAAAGTTAAAGATTTACAAGATCGACCAGCATTTGGTAAGATTATTTTTTTTCTCTCATAAAGAGAAGTCATTTTTTTTTGTTTTATTTTTAAGCTGAAGAAACTGCAAAATTAATTAAAAAAGATGAATTAACACCAAATATTCCAAATTTTGCTCAATATTTAATTATTGGTGGTGGTGCAACAGCTATGAGTGCATTTAAAACTATTCGAGCACATGATGCAACAGCTAAAGTTTATTTTATTTTACTTCATGGATTTATATTTCATCTTATTCTATTCAGGTCCTTGTAATAAGTTCAGAAGCCTATATGCCATATATGCGTCCACCATTATCAAAAGATATTTGGTATACAGATGATGAAGATCTTATTCAAAAACATTCATTTAAACAATGGAATGGAAAAGAAAAAAGGTTTTTTAAAAATTAATATTTTATTTGTATTATTAAGATTTTAGTTACTTTTTGCTTCTTTTAGTTTATATTTTTTTGATAATGAATTTTATGCAGATATTAAAACATTGAATGAACAAGAGAATGGTGGTGTTGGAGTTGTTCTTGGAAGAAAAGTATGATTGAATATTAATTATATGAAAGAAACAAGAAAATAAATTTTTATTAAAATACAAAAAAATCTAGGTTACTAAATTGGATTTAAAAAATTCTGTAGCAAAATTAGATAATGGATGGGAAATATCATTTGAAAAATGTTTAATTGCTACAGGTGGACAACCAAAAACTATAAAAATATTTCAAACAGCATCAAATCGTTTGAAAAGCAAATTAACACTTTATAGAGGAGTAAGTGTTAGTTTTGATATTAACTCTGTGCACTATATTGACATATGATTGACGAACCATTCTATGCTTCATTGAATATTTTTTTTTTTGTTCTTTTCTTTCTTCACCTACTTTGTTTTTTTCGCTGTATGAGTCTTTAATTTTTTGCGTTTCATAAAATACGAATAGGAAAATGAAAAACAAAAGTGCAAACGAAGCAGCCTAAATGCTTATATAAATAGTTGCGAACATACAAGCCATATATATTACTTATTCTTTCAACGTTGTTTCATACATCGCTAGCATTTCTGTCCTTTGTTTACATGATTCATACCTGTATATATATATAAAAATCATAACAGTAAAATTATTTTAATGTTAAACGAATCAACATTATCGACAATTCTACTTCGTATTGAACATTTATTCGATGGTCAATCATCATCACCAACATCATCATCATCATCATCACATAAAATATTACAAAGAAATACTGAAAATTTATTTCCTATTTCAACATCAGATGACTTTCTTTCTGATCTTACTCTTAGTAATGATATTGTTGATGAACTAGATTGTTATCTAAAAAATGGTGATGATCTTTCTAATAGTAGTCATACATCATCACCAATAATTCCTCCATCATCTATTTCATTAATACAACAAACATCATCTCAATTTGAATTTATATTAAATGCTTTAACATCATCATCAGCAAGAATTAACGAAGAAACAACAACTTATTTAAATCAAGGTCAACCATATGAAATTAAATTTTGTGTCAATAATACATCACCATCAGAAAATATTCTTCCAACTTTTTATCGTTCTATATTACGTTTATGTTTTTGGGATAAAATATTACAAAATCAAGAACGTGAATTAATACAAAAATGGTTAAATGAATATCAATCAACATCATTATTTGATATTGATATGAATTTAACATATGGAATTTTATCAATAATACGTGCAAGACAAATACCAAATGCTGTTGAAATTGTTTGGGATACATCTACAACACCATCATTATTTATTCGTTTTAAATGTACATCAACTGATTTTGCACATAAACGACATGGTGGTGAAAAAGGTATACCATTACGTATACAAATAGATACATATAATGAAAATGATGTTGATGATATAAAACATTTATATTCATGTTGTTGTAAAATTCAATTATTTCGTTTAAAAGGTGCACAAAGAAAAAATAAAGCTGATAAAATCCGAATTGAAAAATTAAATATTGATCAACGTCGACAATATCAAACAATACTTGAACATACTATATTACAACCATGTATTGTTTTACCACTTTATACACTTAATCTTCTTAGTCTATCTTATTCACCAGATGATTTATCAAATGTTTATACACAATCTACAATGACAACAGAAAATATAACAGTAGAAAATGAAAATTGTAATAAGAAATTACAAGAAAAACGAAAGAATAATGTCGGATATTTATCATCGTCGTTATCAGATATAAAACATAGTTATTCGGATTTGCAAAATAATGAAGTTAAAATAACGACAAAAATTACTGTACAATCATCATGTGAAGAAGTATTGAATTGGTTAAATAATAATAATTTTTCTTCAGTTGTTAATCGATTTCAACATTATACAGGTATTGATCTTTTACGATTGACTATGAATGATATTCGTCGAATATGTAATGGTGATGATTCTATTAGTATTCGTCTTTATAATCAATTACATGAAATTGTTGTAGCACCATTAAAAACTCTTTATGTTAAAACTTCTAATACCAATATTTATTCCGCTATTTATTTACATACATTAACTAGACATGAATTGGAAAAAAAACTTTTCGAATTAATTCAACAAACTCAAAAAGATGAATATAATCTAGTGTTTGAATTAGATAAGATTAAAATAAACATAGACAACGATGATGTTGTTAAATATTCTTTACTTGATAAAGGTCAATTTGATTTAAAAATTTATCCTTGTGAAATAATTCTTTGTTTGATAAATAATTCTGTATAGTTAAAAGTTTTTTTTTTTTTTTTTCTATCTCACTAGTCATGATCGTATTTAATTGTAATCTACATTATTTTATTTTATTTTTTCTTTTAGATCGACGATTTTCTTTCATTAAAAAAAATTGTTGATAGTGGTGCTGATATTGCCATTGTTGGTGGAGGATTTCTTGGTAGTGAATTAGCATGTGCTTTAGCTAATCGAGTAAACGAGCATACTAAAAATGGAAAACCAAGTGGAAAAATTGTTCAACTTATGCCAGAAAAAGGTAAACAAAGGATTTTGCCACTATCTTGAACCAGGATAGTATGTATATATATATATATGATTTTGTAGAGCAATTTGCGGCAAGTCTAATATCATATAAGAAATCAAGTCTTCGTCAAACTATGATATGTTGAGGACCCATATACTGATTATAATCTTTGAGGAATATATATAGTACTCATAGACATTAGTCCCTAAGATGTCCTACGAGAAATTTATGCAAAATTTTTTAGAATTGAGACCAATATATTGACAATATTTTAACAATGTTCAACGGTCCTATTAAATATTTTTATATACCAATAATTAGTACAACATTCCTAATGAACTAGTATAATTAATTCAATAAATGGAAAAATTCTTTGGTCTCCAGATCCCTTGAGGGATGAATGGGAATATGGAAAAATTTCTTTTTAAAATGAACATAAGATATTTCTAGATTCTTTTAGAGTTTCATCTATAAATCAAGCCTGGATATTCGGAATAAAAATTTGAAAAATACAAAATACAAAATAATAGATCACCTTCCTGCAACCGTATACCTGTACTTCCCTCCAGGCATCTAAAGGTTAAAAAGTTTGCTTTTTTTTATTTATGAAGGTTTTATTCATATCAATTCATCAGAGATGCTGTGCTAATTATCGATACATAGAAATTTTGATAGGACGGTTGAGTATTGTTAAAATATTGTCAATATACCGACTTCTCTATATAGAAAAACAGGTTATTCTAGAGAATAGTCTTACAAGTTGACAATGAATTCCTCCTGTTACCTGTAAAACATATAGAGCTCGATAGCATGTAGTTTTTGAGAAAGTTTCATGCTGATGCTTACTTGTTTTGTGGCACAGAATTGAATACACTTGAATATTAAGTAGTCCAAAAATAAATTAGACGTAAGAAAAGGAACCATTTTTAAGTATGAAGCAAACAACGATGAAAACGATTGATTATAGAAAAATCAAAAAGCACCTATAACTGTATCGAACTGAATTCTAAAACATTTTGCATAAGTGTCTCTTAGAACATCTTACGGACCACGATGTCTACGAACACCAAGAAGGAAAAACTGATTTCATGATTCAATTGATTCTGCATGATTTTACTGACCTTGAAACAAGATCAGAAAGCTGCTTCCAGGCCTTCAAAATCATTGGAATCACTCAGAATTACTTTGAGTCACATGGAATTGGTGCATATCTAATTCCATGTGATTCCAAGTGATTCTGAGTGATTCTGAAGGTCTGGAAGCAGCTTTTCCTCCTTGACGAGCACCATATATTAGGGATGTACAGCTCACACTCATGTGAGCGTGAGCGCTTCGGTACTTCGAATATGCGAGTCACCTATAAGATTCGATCCGTTTTCACTTGTGTTCATTAAAGCTGTACACTCCCGCCATCGACCAATCAGACTCGAGAAAGATGTTTCTCAGCTATTGTAAGAATAAAACATACTGTTGTTCGGATCATATGAAAGAGGACCTCGGATAGCCTTCGGATCAGCCCGCACAACACCATGTTTTGTCCTTACAAAAGAGAAAAAAATCGACTAAAATCCGATTGGCCATTGATCAATCAATCACACTTTAGTAGAGTTTTCCTCTATTGTGAGGACAAAATATCGTGTTGTTCGGACCGATCAGGAGGTTCTTTGAGACCTTCTTTTATTTGATCTGAACAACACTATTTTTTGTCCTTACAATAGCTGAAGATCAGCTTTCTCGAATGTGATTGGTCAGTAGTGTGGTGTCCAGCTCAGATTGATGAGCGCCCATGCGGTTGAGCTGTACATCTCTGCCATATATACGTATTTCTCCAGGATAATAACCAGTACACGGATATTCAGCAAATCAACATTTGAGAAAGACTTGATTTCTTTAACACTATTCGATTCGTCGTAAATTGTTCGACAAAACTATATATATATATATATATGATATCCTGATCCAAGATAAGTCACCAAATTCGGCGATATCCTTTAATAAATGATTCAATTTATCTTGTATTATTTTATTAGGTAATATTAGTAAGGTATTACCAGAATATTTGAGTAAATGGGCAACAGAACGTGTTCGAGAAGGTATTATTTTTTTGATTTTATTATTTCTATTTTAATTCTATAGTTTATTCTAAATAGAGGGTGCTGAAGTATTACCAAATGTTGAACTTATTAATGCTTCAATTCAAGATGGAAAAATTAATTTAGCTTATATTGATCCAAAACAACCACAAAAAACAAGTTATATGACGACTGATCATATTGTAGTTGCTGTTGGTATAGAACCAAATACTGACTTAGCTAAATCAGCTGATTTAGAAATTGATCCTGATCAAGGTGGTTTTCTAGTTAATGCTGAACTACAAGCTCGTCATAATGTTTGGGTTGCTGGTGATGCAGCATCTTTTTATGATATTAAATTAGGTCGACGTCGTGTTGAACATTATGATAATGCTATTGTTAGTGGAAAATTAGCTGGAGAAAATATGACAGGGGCTCATAAACCATATTGGCATCAATCAATGTTTTGGTCTGATTTGGGACCAAATGTTGGATTTGAAGCTATTGGTTTAACTGATTCAGATTTACAAACTGTAGCTGTTTATGCTAAACGACAACCAGAAGATGAAGAACCACAAGAAGATAATGAAGGAAATCGAGAACAAAAAGAAGTACCATCAACAGCTAATGAATTAAAACATAAAATACCAGAAAGAAAAACACCGACAACAACAATGGACAATAAAAATGATTATAGTAAAGGTGTTGTGTTCTATTTAAAAGAAAATAAAGTTGTGGGTGTTGTTCTTTGGAATATATTTAATCGAATTCCTATTGCACGAAAGGTAAAATAAGACAACAAAATATTAAATTGAATTTGAAATTTCAATTTTTTTGTTTTAGATAATCAAAGATCAACAAGAAATTACTGATTTTCAGGAACTTGCGAAACTTTTTAATATTCATCAAGATTAGTCTAGTGCTTTTCTTTTTCTATTTCAGTGATTTACACTGATAGTTACTTATATGCCACATGATCTTTCCTATTTAACTTTAGGTTAAATCTAAACTTTTGTGATTTGAAATAAACAAAAATACTATTTCAATTTTTCACGAATTCATGATTTCATTTTCATTTCAATTCGATGCCTATCATTTACATGTACAATGAAACCTGTATTAGTTGAACCACTCGCACTTTGAACAAAGTGTCGGTCTTATGAAGCAATTTTTGCTGAAAATATATCTTCTATAGATAAACATTTCTCAATAGTAAATACTTTTCAGAAGTTCCAACGGTGTTCATCTACGAAAGATTGTACTATATTAAAATTATTCTAAAATAAACACAATAATTTTTACTAGAAATATTTTCAATTCAATCGATTATAAATAATAAAAAGAACGCTATATTATACTGAAATTTTTGAGTGAGAAACTGACTTGATCAATTTTCTCAGCAAATGTTTTCATTTTACTTTGTTGCGATAGATCGAAATATAAATTTTTTTGTTACATATTCTGTTCGTTTTTTGACTTGAATTGTCAATAAAATATGAAAGCTTTAAGTGAAGAAAATTATGAAATATAGAAAAATGATCAATACTTCAATGTTGCATTAGTGAAAATTAGACATGCAAGCTGAGCAACTGATCCGCCGCCACTGTGACTCCAAAAAAGAGACTCAATTTTCGAAAACTTTCAACACTCAAGATCACTTTTCGAGTATGTTCTTCTTATAAAAATAAAGCAAAAAGAAATCTACTTTTAACTGACTTTTTATGATTTAAAGTTAATTAAAATCAAATGAAATCTATCTTTGAAGCTGAAAACCAATTTTTAATCAGCTCCATCCAGAAATGACCTTTTTTTAACCTATTTTTTTTTGTCACTTGTTCTGTACGAATAAGTACTTTTTGGTATAGTAACTCGAAGTAATTATGTAGCTGTATATATATATCAAATAGTGAAAAAATGTTTTGACTAAAACTTTTTATTAGATCGACCTCAGCCGATAAGTATTTCATACTTGACATCAGAATACTTGGTGTAGCAAAGCCACGCAGTTTTAGCTAAAATCTCGAGTCATCACTTAGGGATCTTCCCTCGTTAGACAGAAAGAGAATGAAAATTTAGATCATACGAATTTCAAACATCTAGTAATAATATCGACTTGTTTCTTAATAAAGGTCTCATATATCCAACTCATGAAATGTATATTGTGTAAATGAATCCATAAATAGTATCAAATAAATGGGGATTTCTTAAAGTTAATATGTACCAAAAGATGCGAGTAGTTTACCAAGACTCTTCACTATTCACATACCCATGGATTAGTTATTCTCTTACTCTTCGAAGCTTTTTACGTCGGTATTGGGTTTGTCTGAAGAAAAATGTTGCACAAGTGATCAGACTGAAAATTCTATTGGCTAACTCGATTTACAATTAATAATTTCATTACAAAAGGCTCATGATTATACGTAACCATATGAAAAAATCCAAAACTCTCCATTCTTACATCATTATCACCCTCATTTACTATATATTTACAGAACTCATTTGATGTCTACAAGAAGTAAACTTATTCTCAGAAAAAAATGGGATTTTTGCCTATCCAGAAACTTTTCTTGAGTTCCCTCGAGATTTATTTATAGCTCAATAGTCAAAAGTCATAGAAAAACCTTAAGCACATATTCTGAAAGAGCACAAAACTCTGATTCTAATACATTACTTCTCACTCTTTTCAATGCATTGATATAAATGAAAAAAGCTAAATATTCTATCGTGAAACTTTCGGCTCATCTCTTATATATTATGGTTTGCTGTGTACACTATATTTTAGTTCTTATCCAGATCAATTATATCCTTAACTAATTGACATGATTGACAGTCGGGAACAGCATAGAATATGAGATTGTCGTCGATCAACAACATCATCTATACTTTTTTTGCAAAATAATTATGTGAAATGAAGGCTGAACAAAATTGATGATAAAAAAACACTCATCTTTTTCAATGATTTTTTTCTCATGTCAAAAACAAGACATTTGGATGATATAATTAAATCAACAATTCCTTAGAATTCAATTAAAAAGGAATGTATGAAATTTATTTAATAAAATCATGTATATGACAGTTTTTCACATATGAAAGAAGAAAAAAGAATTCTAAATTGAATAATATGAAACTCTATTCTCTGATTTTCTACGTATATATATTTTTTGTTAATATCAAAATGCACAATGAATTTTGTTCATAAATATGAAAAATAATAATAATATATCAAACTTCATAAATCTTCATCGAATATAATGCGTCTAAAAGAAAAATGAATTCGTTAATAAAGAATGAAAAACAAATAGTTCTTACTTTAATGCCGGTATTAAGTTCGGTGCTCGATAAATAAGTGAATGTCCATAACCACCATGATGAAATGATATCATATCAATTGTAAAATGAAGTAATTTTTTCTTACTTCTATTATCATCACGTATAGTTAAACCAGCTTGTAATAATTGTTTACTATGTTCATAAGGTATTGTATAATCATCATCAGCATGTAAAAGTACCAATGGACAATTAAGATTTGATAAATGACTACGTGTTTGAAATGAAAGTTTACTTATACGTAATGCTTTTTCAGTTAAACCATAAAACCATGGTTGCCAACGAAATAACTATAAATTAAAAACAAAAATTTATTTACAAAAAAAAAAAAAAAAAAGAATCTATTTACTAATGAAAGATAATGTGTTTGTAAAGCTTGATGAATATTGATAAATGGTGCTTCCATAACAATACCAGCAAAACTTTTACCTAAATAACAAAATAGATAAAAAAATAAAAATAAAACAAAAAATTATATTCATACTTTCATCATCGGATAATCTTGCTGCTAATTGACAAGCAATAGATGAACCAAGTGATTGACCCCATATATATATTTTTCTTTGACCATTAGTTATATTATGTAACCAATCATATACATAACGAGCATCTCTAATTAAACCTTCTTCTGTTGGTTCACCAGTTGAATCACCATAACCACGATAATCAAATGTAAAAACATCATATTTTAATTCGCTACGTAATTTTTGACACATTCCACGACGAGTAAATATTGAACTACAAAAAAAAACAAAAGAAAGACAAAAATTAAATATTTTATTTTTCTCAAATAAACACAAATTTATTTATTAAATACCGATCAAAAGCATTGCCATGAAAATAAATAATTATTGGAATAGTTGATCGTTGTGATACAATATGTTTTTGAAAATAATCTTCATCTGTAGTATATGGCTGATCTTGAACAAGTGGAGAACGATAATGCCTAACAATATTAAAATTAACAACACATAATACACACAAGATTGATTAATCAATTTCAGTAACAATATTGAAAATTGATACAGAAACAAATCTATTGATTTCAACTGATTCTTGTTTAAAGAAAATAATCTTATGAGATTCTCTTAATACGAGTCAAATATTACTTATTCATTGTGCTGTTTTATTTAAGGAAACCCATCTTTTGAATGTTAATATCAAAATTTTTTCGATTTTTTGTTTCTCATAGCTAAAATACCTTCAAAGTGTTCTCTATCAAATGCCATGTGCGATTATTCTTTACATGCAAAATTCTCCTAATGAAAATGATGATTTCTCATTCAAAAAAGTCTTGATACATATTCTCAAAATTAATTTTTGAACAAAAAAAAATGAAGTCTTCTCGCACACAGTATGCTCGATTGGGCTCAAATTGGGGTACATGCTTTTTTTTTCTTCTTCCAAATGTTGTTCCTACAAAATTCAACAGCATTTAAAAAATTAGTACCATTGAAAAAAAACACGTTTTTTTGACGGTACTTCCAGTCTTTTGTTTTCTCTGAGCTCTACGAACGATATTTTTTGAAAGGAAAAAAAACTACGCTCTTCCAATTTGATTCCAGATTTCATAAAAAAATAACAGCTCGAAAAAATGAAGTATAGAGTTTTGCGGGGAGATCTCTGGCGAGTTTTGGTCTTTGCAATACTCATATCTTCTTGTAATAACCATAGACTCCAGGAGAGCCAACCCGATCTTGAGGGAGGGAGGCAGAGTCAACCCTTTGGTCTCCATCTAAAGATATCGCAAGAAACGAAATCTGTTTCATTCTGTTATTATCATTCTCTCTATTAAGTTTAATAACTTACCAAATACCAATGCGAACTGTAGGTTCAACATCCAAATAAAAATTAAACACACGATCAAGACCAAATTTTTCCGGTTGAGTAAAATTAGCACCTGACGTCACTATACAAAAAAAAACAGAAATGAAGTATTTATCAAATGGAATATATCTTACAAATATTCAAAAACACAACATGTTTGACACTCGTTGGATAAACAATAAGAATGATTGGTAAAGCTAATGAAGCTAATATATATAAACTCACTAAGATAAGAGTTATTTTAATGAAAATTGTACTATTCGAAAATAAAAAAAAATGAAAAATATTTCAAAAATATATTTTAATACACTTACCTAAATTTCGACCAGCAACGATTAGCACTTGGTTCAGTCATTTTTTTAAAAGAATCTACAAATAGGTTTATTTACAAAGATTAAATGATTATTTATTTTTGTAAAAAAAAAAAGCAATGAGAAAAATAACGAGAATTTTTCAAACATATGATTTATGTAGCACATTAAATTCAAGAATTTTTCGTTAAAGGTAAGCGTTTGAGAAATGCGATATCACTAAAATGAAAAAAATAAAAATATTGATCTCAATTAAAAAAACGTTTATTTTTCTTTTTTATTTACCTAACTAATTCTTGAAATTTTGCATATGAATAAATATGATTATGTCCACAATTTGCTGAACGTGGAACAGTTATGAAACGGACAGGTGGTAAATTTTTATCACGATGAATTTTAACATAATCTTCAATCTAGGAAAAAAACAAAAGAACGATATATTTTCTTGAAAAAGAAAATCTTTTAATAAATCTACTAATTGAGCATGATGATAAGGTATAACAGCATCATCTTCTGAATGAATAATTATAATTGGTAATGGAAGAAATGAAATACTAAAAATGAAAAAAAAAAAAAAAAAACATTTTTTTTTAATGAATTTATATGAATATTTATTATTCATACATTTCATTATTTGGAAAATTGATTTTAACAGCTGCTAAAGAATCAAGTGCAGCTTGCAGAAAATATGGATTGATTTTTAATATCTAAATAATAAATTAATTCTAACACGAAAACTTCTCCAAATATCAAATCAATTTGATATCTGAAAAAGTTCCTTCGAAAGTAGATAAATATTAAAACATACTCGTGTAATTGGATATGAAACAAGAGCTTGAATTGTATTATAAAATGGTGCTTCGAGTACAACACCTGATGGTTTTTTTAAATCTAAATTATTCGAAAAAAAAAAAAGTCAAAATATTTAATTGATCAGAAAAAGGAAAATTTCTATACCAGAATGATTTTGAAATAATTTATTCATTGCCCATAATGCAACACCAGTACCCATTGAATGACCCCATAGAGTTATTGGATTTTGAGGACAAACTTGACGAATTACATTAACGACATGTATTACATCCTGAGCAAAACCATCTACAGTTGGTATACCAGTTGAATCACCATAACCACGATAATCAAGAGCAATAATTTGATTACCAAAAGTACTCATCATTCGATAATGATTTGATCGATAACGTGTTGCTCTAAAATGAATTTTTAATTTTTTGAAATTTATTTCTATGTTCATTTACCTTGTACCATCTTGTCCATGCAAATATATAATTATAGGAAGATCATCAGATTTAACATATTGTTTAAGATGATCAGCAAGTGTTGATAAATTATGATCAATAGTGATAATGGGTGGCAATATATACCTAGACAGTAGAGAAATCATAATCGGAATTTACTTAAAAAATTGAGAATGTCAAAAAATTCTTAAACCTATTTATGAACAAATTCAAAATTAAAATTGTTTTATGACTGATTGATAAGTTAATTAAATGAACATAAAATCATGGATTGATATTAGGCTCGCCTGAGATAGGGATGTATCAATTCCTAGAGCATGATGTTAAGGATGATATTTTATTCCTTATTAAGAATGAAGTTCCTGTGGATTGTTCATATTAACCATGATTAATTCTTTTTGCTCTATTCGAAGTTATAGTCAAAATACAAGTTTCGGAACTAGTCAAAAATTCACATTTTTTTAGTTTTTTTTGACTAATTTCAACTGATTTTGAACCTTGTATTTTACATTAGACAAAACTTAAGAATAGTTTTGAAAAGAGCATTCAAAACCGATCACAACTAGCATGAAGAATCGCTTGAAATTTTGGTAATTCTTAATACTAGTCATGTGTTTTTTTGTAAGCACGAATAAACCAATTCCTAGCGATTTTTCATGCTAGCTGTAATTAATTTTGAATGCTCTTTTCGAAACTATTCTTAGGTTTTGTCTAACGAGAAACACACGTCTAAAAATCAGTTGGGATTGATTGAAAAAAAATATATTAAAAAATGGAAATTTTCGACCAATTCCGAAATTTATGTTTCGACTACAGCTTCGGATAGAGATGATTATAGTTGATATGAACAATCCATAGAAATCTCATTCTTAATAAGAAAAAAATAATGCCATCTTTAACATCATGTTCTAAGAATTGACATGTATTAAAAATATATTTCTTTTACAAAAAAAGGTTTCTAAACGATGGTACTGAACAATCACTTCAATTATTTATCAGAACATTGAAAACAGTTTTATGATGATAATGATCACGAGTTTAATAGCTGTCAGACAAACCTAATGTTTGTAAAAACCGTATGAAAACTACGATAAATTGTTCTTATGGAACCAAAAAATAAGATGTATTTATCGGTATTCGAACGTTATGAAGATTATTATTTGCAAGATACGCATATTTTCCTTGAGAAGAGAAGTTAAATTCAGATCGAGTGACCCATGTTGTATCTCCGAAAAGACATGAATTATAAATTTTAAGATTTAAACTTCAAGTTAGTCCGAACTTAATCTTAATTTTTGAAATTTTGTCAAATTTCAAATTTTATTGCAAACAAAATCTTTAAGATTATTCTGTTTAATTCGAAATTTCAGCAAGAATACTCATAAAATTTTCTTAATCTTATAGAATATCTTCAACATTCTCTATTTTTTTCAATGTTTAACATCATACATATGATTTCTAAATGTCATTATTTAAAACTTAACATACCATATTCCAATTCTAACATTTGGTTCTGTTTGTTCATAAACATTAACAGCATTTAATCTGAATGCATCTGGTTTTGTTAAATCAATCCATGGATAATATCGAGCTATTCAAATTAAAGAAACATCAAAATTAAATAAGATTATAATGATATTTACACCATGTTTGAAAAAACATTTTTGTTAAAATAATATCACCATATAAACGAAGAAAAATCGGACTTAATACAATCAATGATATAATTATAGTAATCATACTAACAATCCATCGTATGAAACTAAATATAAAATAAATATTAGGCAATTTTACACAGTATTTATTAATTGGTTTTTTTGTTTTTACATTTTTTTAAAAAATGATAATTTTGATTTTTTCTTTTGTCGTTCTATAGTCATCGATCTCGAAGAATAACACAAAGATTAATAAACTAAGACTTTTCAAACAAAAAAAAAAAAAACAAAACACGTTTATTAAAATTTATGATAAAATAAAATATAGTAAAAAAAATAAATTTTTTTTTTAAATTGCTTTTAATATGAGATTTGGTACATCGAAAGTTTGATCATCACAGAGAACAATATCATAAATATTTTTATAAACTTCTAATTTTGTTGACGTACTATAATTTAAATATCCTATTTTGAGTATATGTTTTAGATTTTTCATTCCACCAATCATTCCAACATCACCAAGAGTATCACCCAAAAGAATAACATTTGGACGATTAAGAATTGAATGATAATAAGGTGTATGATGAATTTCTTGTTCATTTTTATTAAATGTATGAATAAGTTTTTTATTAAATGAGTTTGTATTTCCATTTGTATCAAATTGAATAAAATTTGAAATAATGTGTGATAATTCATGATTATGTTTAAATTCAGGAATTTCTTTTTCAAGAAAAATTTCAATAACATCACCTAAAATTCAACATTTATGTCAAATTATTAATCAAGAAGGATTTCTTTACCTAACCCAGCTGAAAAAATGAGAATAGGAGTATCACTACATAATAAATCCGTAATGAATTTATTTACACCTTTTTTTAATTCTAGTTTTGATTGATAAACTAGATTACGTAACATTGATTTATCAAGAGTTGATGAAATAATAAGTGATTGAGCTTTATGCCACCATTCAATCATATAAGGAATTTTTTCTTCTACACTCATAGAAACATCAAGTTCAATTGGGTGATATTTTGAACGTAATTGATCAGCTTGAATACGAATTAATGAACCATCGGGTAACTATATGAAATTAATTTCAAAATTAACCTATTGATAATTTATTCTCAATAAGAATTTAGTTATTAATATTTGTAAAAATAATGAATTTCTTTTTTTTTTTTTTAATTCTTATAAATTTTTCTTTCTCATCATTCGCATAGAAAACTCTTATTTTATGTTTCAGACGAAAAAAAAAAGTAATATTCTAGATAGGATATTATTGTATGTATTTGTTTAAAATAATCAACTATTTGATATATATTTATCAAAAAATTATAACCTGATTAAAAGACCATGATTAACATGAAGAAATGTCAATGTAATTTGCTTCATAGTTTTTTTTTTACTGCGTAACTGATTTTCAAATATAAATATTTGACAACGAAGAATCAATATTGTCTTTAGTTTAAATATATTCTATTCACAATATTTCTTCTACTTATCTTAATTACTTGATGATTTTGAATCATTTTTATTACATGTTTCTACATGTAATTCCTATCCTCGAAATTATGAAAACTATTCATAAATGCTTTAATCTACATAACTAATATTCTATATCGAAATCATGACATAAGGACGTCATACATTCCTGTAAATCATATTTAAATATACGTATATAATAGAGTTTATCTTTGTTCAATATTTGGGAAGAGGACTTCAACATTATGTTTGAAAGTAATTCAATTGAATACAAAGTGTACAATACTCATTGCATAGAACTAGTTTTTCATTTATGATAAACGTTCGCTATACAATCTTTGTTAACTATTATGACTGAGATTTTTCTCAACGATTAACTAACATTGAAACAGAACTGGCTGAATGTGAATTTATGGGAATACAAGAAACCTAAGATATACCAGAAGTAATGATATCGATAGTATAATATCATAAAAAATAATTCGAGAAAAATTTTTTGTATACATACTGATGGTACAAACAGTGTTCTGCATATTTCATCATTCTATTGTTACAGCTAAGGTCAGTTGTAATATAAAGATCGTCGTTAGTAATACAATGATCTTTGTTCGATATATTCAGATGTTGTCTAGGTTATACATCTTGAGAATCGAACTTCATGTTCAATCTCTTTTTGATTTTCATTGAATCATTTCGATTATCTTTCAAATTTTCTGCAGGTTGAAGTCTAGTTTTCAAAACTAAAACAGAGCTTCATATATAACTTTTATTTAAATAGATAATGCAATGTACACTTCAATATAGAAGTGAAAATTTTTCTTATCGATTTAAAAAGAAAGATAAAAAGTTTTCATCAAAATTATGATATCAATTGAAGAAATATAAAGCACTGTTTGTGCTATTAATATACAGGATGCCCTAAAAGTTATATTATTGAAAAAAATTCTATATCTCCAATACGATTCGAGCAAATGAGCTGATTTTTTTATCAATGATAGAGGCATGTACAAGCTTTATATCCATAAAGATATGTCTAGAGAGATCCTTTGTTAAGTATCACTATTGACCACAATAAAAGAATTTGACTCTTTCACAGATAGGAAAAAGACAATATACGATAAAAAAAAGATCATTTTATCAAGAAAAAATGTAAATACTCACTCAAATTTTTTTTCGTTATTATCAAATACATATCTTGATTCTTTATTGGGATGAAAAAAAAAAGAATATCAGCATGCAACAATCAATAGATTAGTTTATATTCTTCAAAAAATTAAACAATACTTTAGCGTAAATGTTCAAATTGTTTGCCTTCTGTGTTGATACACATCTGACAACGATTAACTATAGAACAACAGATTGCTTGGCATAATTCGATGTTATTATAATGACTTCAGATGATCTATATCCTATATATATACTTCTCTAATCTTCGATTTAAACTTCTTTTGACATTATTAAACTAATTTTTAGATTTAAAATATGCTTAAATTCTTACTGTAACTCGATCGTCATTTTCAATAACAGCATATGTTGATGGTAAAACAACTCCATTTTTTTCATACATAGTTAATGTAAAATCAAAATCAGCTACAACATGTAACATTTTTCGTCCATCATTTATTAATGAATGAATAGTTTGTTCAACATAAACTCGTTTATCATTATGTATATGTACATGTGAATTAGTTTTAAGAAGATTTTCAATAAAATTCATTTATCTGAAAAAACATGAAATTAAAAAAATTACAGTATATAAAATAATTATTACGAAATCGTGTTTTTTTTTTTTTGTTTTCACTATCAAAACAAATCAATAACAAGAAAAATATTAGAGCACCGGAAGAAGTTTTCATTATTACAAAGCTGTTGTTGCTATTGTATTACCATCATCATCTTTATCATTAATCCTAACTTTATTTAATGATTTTTTTGATTCTAATATTGATGTTAGTAATCCTCGATAATTTTCATAATATTGAACACGAATAAAATTTTCATCTCGATATAATTTTGTCATCATGGCATCGAATGATTCAAGCTCAGATAAACTAAATAAATGCCATTGAAGAAGAATATCATTAGATGATGATGCTTGAGAATAAACATGTAAAAATGATGGTATTGGCCGTTTTAATAATGGATTTGGAGGTACAATTGGTTTTTTTGCTGATTCACGATTGTTTACTATAAAACTGAAAATAAAAGAATTGATCCTTGTTGTTTTTTTTTTATTATTAAACTTACTCTGATTGTTGTTGAAAACGTCTTTGTGAAAATAAACTTCGTTCTTGTTTATCAATATTATTTGAATCATTAGTATTTTCTTCCTCTTCATTAACTGTATCAGTTGTATTTAAATGAGGTGTCAATCGACGATGAGTTTTTTCAATTGATCGACCTGCTTCTTCAACACTTTTTCTAACAAAAAATAAAAAATTTAATTTAATTAATAAGAGGGGAAATGCATAAGAGGTCAAATTGACCCACTAGTACTTTTCTTGACCAACTCCATTGAATCGTATATAAATGAAAAGAGTATGTTTAGATTAGAAGTGCATAGCTCACGTTCATACTTATGAGCAGCTCATATGAGCGTGAGCACGTCTTCTGTACTTCGAATATGCGAATCATCTATAAGATTCGATCCGTTTTTGCTTGTGTTCATTAGAGCTGTGCAGCTCAACCGCATGAGCGCTCATCAACCTGAGCTATACACTTCCACTATCGACCAATCAGGTTCGAGGAAGCTGACCCATACCCTATTGTAAGGACAAAACATATTGTTGTTCAGGTCATGTGAAAGAGGGTCTAGGATAAACCCGTGATCGATTCGAACAATACTATGTTTTGTCTTTACAATAGAGAGAAAAATTCCTACTAAAATTTGATTGGTTGATCAATGACCAATAAGAGTTTTGTACCATTTCTGTCTCTCTTGTAAGGACAAAAAATGCTGCTGTTCAGGTCGATCAGAGGATTATCTGAGGTCTTCTTTCATATCAACCGAACAAAAGTATATTTTGTCCTTATAATAGCTGAGAAACAGCCTCCTAGAATCGAATTGGTGGTTGATCAACCAATCAGATTTTAGTAGGGTTTTTTCTCTATTGTAAGCACAAAATATAGTATTGTTCGGATCGATCACGGGATTATCCTGGACCCTCTTTCACATGACCTGAACAACAATATGTTTTGTCCTTACAATGGGGTATGGATCAGCTTCCTCGAATCTGATTGGTCGATATTGGGAGTGTATAGCTCAGGTTGATGAGCGCTCATGCGGTTGAGCTGTACCGCTCTAATGAATACAAGCAAAAACGGATTGAATTTTATAGATGATTCGCATATTCGAAGTACAGAAGAAGTGCTCACGCTCAAGAGCATGAGCTGTACAGCTCTAGTTTATATTTACATTTTGGTACTATTTTCATGAGAATTCGATCGAATTTTGAAAACTAAAAGCTATCAACAAAGTAACGAATTTTTTGTGGTTATTATTCTAATAAATCATCCTATCACGGTGGATTTAATTTGAGAATAAGCAAACAAAACAAAACACAACACTACTGAAATTATGAATTTGATAGCTTGTCGATAGGACTTCAATCTCATATGTAAATCACCAATTGATTATTTAATTTAACGAGATATAGGCCAGATGCAGAAATCTCAATGAACTGGGCGAAGACCAGTCCTTGAACCGGGTTGTGCTGGTTCGGTTCAACCTATTGACCAAATTTTGAATAAAATATAAAACTTTCAAAACATGATGCGCATTTCACCATTTTTTTTTTCGAAAGATCAATGTAATTCCTCTATTCACTGGAAAACGTTTACGCTGAACAACAAAAACATAAAGCATAACAAAGAAAGACAACCGCTCGTTCATCAAAAATTACATCATCACCATCATCACCTATTTCTTCTAATTTTAATCCAATTTCTACTGAATCTTCTCTCAATCATTAGTTTTGTTAATAATTTCTCTTCAATTGCTGAACCTGATTTATCATTATATACAAAACAGTTTTTATCCGAAAGGAGCAAAGAAGTAGCTCTTTTTCTATGGGTTATTCCACCTCAGTAGTTGTCTTTTGTTTGAAATTTTTTTTTGTTTGTGAATATTTTGACGATATGAAAAAATACAACTATACATTAGTCATTTCCAAGCTTAGTGAAAACATCGTGACTTTTTGATGAGAGTCAAGATCACATTAAATGCCGTAAAACCTCTATCAATATTTCTTAATTTTGATATTTAAAAATTAGTTTTCATTAAAATCAAGCATGATTTTCGCAATAAGTATGCAAAAATACATTCAGAAGCTCTAGCTTTCATTTGAGAAGACTTTCAATCAAATTTTACTCGTAGGGAAAACAGCATAAAATTTTACAAATAAAAAGCTCAGAGGATGTCAAAATGTTTATATACGTATAGAGAATATTGTTTTCTAACTTCACTTTTCAACTCAAAGTAAAATAAAGATGAAATGCAACCTGTATTTCTTGCATGGTGATCCCGAAAATCATGCTTATTTCCAATAAATACCGATGCTTGATAATCAAAATCTGGAAGTATTAGTCATTTTTGGATATTTTACGCGAAAGTGATCCTGTTCCAACAATAATGACTTTTTATTAACATTGAAAATTCAAAGATTTGGTTCAAAAAGTTTTATATTGTAACATTACTCACAACATAAAACATAGTGTAACAAAAAATTCACTGAAGTATATGTAGCATTTTCTTTGATCATTTTCTGCAAATTCTTAATTGTCACATTAATCTTCACTTTTCAGAAGTTCGAACTATACTTTTAAGTACTATCATTTTTTTTCGACGTTTCTTATTGCTGTGATAGACTGTATGAAACGAAACTGATAACAAAAACTTCAATTTTTAACAGTGAATCATTACGAAGTAATAAGTTAAACGATGTTTCTGATGTATTAAAACATAAAAGTGTAAATTAACATGCAGTTAGATGAATGGTCCACGGGTGAGCTGGCTTTCTTCAGTCCAGTCATTGAGACCTCTGGTCCGATGTACTAGTAGACACTATTAGCATGTTCACTGTATTTTTTGACGATTCTTATCATTTAATAAATATTTAAATATAAAAATTGATCTGACTACTTAAAAACTTCCTAGCATACTCTTCTCCAGGGGCAGTTTTATTCCATGTCGTCTTTTTTTTTAATGGAAACCGACGGTTTTGAAAAAACCACTGATAGCCAGTGGTTTTAATAAAACTGTCAGTTACCACAAAAAAGATTTATTCGATATTTTCTTCCGATATACGCACTGCTTTTGTAGTTAACCGATATTATTATATTAAGTACGTAAGACAAAGGTCCATACTATTTTTTTCATTATTTAACTAGATTATTGATATGCCTATTCATCATATATCCTATTTTGGCTTACAAATCGATGTTGTAAGATGCATCATATAGTCTACATTTTATTGAGTCTGTTTATTACATTTAAATTCAGCTCGATCAAGGACTTAGAATTATTGTTATAACTTTTTAAAAAAATCGCTCATCGATTTAGCTTTTTTCGATTCAATACAAGTCATTGATAAACAGTTGTAGTTTGATTTCTAATTATGTCTTCTTCAGATATTACACCTAGAGGTTTGTCTTCACATCTTGTAATTAATTGTAATTGATGAAAGTAAATTGTGTATTCATTTGGAAAATATATAGTCATGTGGAGTAATTCGGATCAAAGTTTTAAAAATTCATTTTGTTTTTCTTCATTCTTCTGTATTTTACGTAATATAGAAGTGAATTTTGGATCACAAGTAGAACAAAGTGTGCTCTATCGATTGACGAGAGAATCTCCGAAAAATAATGTATTGTAAGAAAATATGATCGAAAATACAAAAACCAGTGTCGCAGTGATCCGAATTACCCCGACATGCCTGTATGATGCATATCGTGGGTACAAAATGAAAGACAGATTGAGGGAATAATATTAAAGAACCATCGGTTAATCAAACTTAACCGACGGATTTTTTTGCCGGTCCGAACGACATAGGATGTCTTTTTAATCAATATTTGTAAGATTTCGATCCAAAAAGTTCAATTTAAGTGAAAACTAATATGGTATATCGAATCAGCACAAACAACTGAGTTGTTTTATGTGTGATTCAAAGAATTTCTGGAACTTTTTTTTTGTGATCGAAAAACTTACCTGTGGTCTTCCTCATGGATCAGATGAAAAATGAACTTCTTGAAAACCCACCTTTTATTTTCTAGATATTTGTCATTTTATAAGTTTAAACACATTTTGAAGTTTCATTATAATGTCCAAGTAGTGTTTTGATGTAAGTTTTTTTTCGCCTGGTCTCTGAAGGAGACTAGAGGTTAATTTTTCAACGGAAAAAAGTTCTAGAAATTGTATAAATTATGCATAGAATAACTCGAGTTTTTATACGGGTTCGAAATATCATATTATTTTTCACTCAAATTGAACTTTTTCTGATTGAAATCTTACAAATATTGATTACAAAGTCACAAAAATGCACCTCGAGAATAGTTTGCTTAAGAATTTTTTTTTTAATTTTGAAAAATATATGCTTTTTTTGGTTTTTTAAAAGACTTATAAAATGAGTAGTACCAAAATTTTTGGCGATTTCAATTTTTATATTATAAAGATAAGAGTCGATGATAAATACAATAAATATGCTAACAGTGTCTACTAGTACATCGGACGTGTATCTTGTCTAATTAAACAATCAATTGGTGATTTATATATGGGATCACAGCTCCAATCAAATAACTATAAAATTTATAATTTCAGTAGTATTGTATTTTGTCTGTTCATTCTTAAACTGAATCCAACGTAATACTTACGATGGATTATTAGAATAATGTATTAGTCTCAACGTATTCTTTCCATTGAGATATGATTCAATAGAATTGTTGAAGAAAAGTACTAATGAGCCGATATGACTTCTTATGTGCTCTTCTTCTTTGAAGTATTTATTCTTACTTAACAGGATCACTAAATGCTTTACGTTTCTGTTGTTGATGTCGATTTTTTCCGCCATCTTTACCATAAAGTAAACGAGAAAATTCACGATCAAAACCAGCTTGTGGTGGATTTGTTTGAGAATAATTTGGATGATTCATTGATGATAATGCTGAATGTGGACGTTCGATATTTGATATTGGTAATTCATAACGTGGAGGTGGAGGTCGAACAGGAGTATTCATCATAATGGGTGAAGAAGATGTTGGTAAAGTTACTGGTGAATTTCCGGATAGTAGATGCTGAGTTATCTGAGGTTCATTATAGACCTGTTTTGGTATTGATGATGGTACAGGTAGATGAATCAAATGTTGGTCCAGATTATTTGCTAATATAAAAAAGAATAAATTTATTTATGAAGAAAAATGTATACATACCAGGTGGAGGTGGTCGATGACCGTTAGCTATACTGAATGAATAAGATGGAGGCGGTGGTCGATTTCTATTTTGCTCATTTAATACGAGTGGAGAAGGAGGAATAAAAGGTTGATTGGTTTGAGGAGTATTCCATCGTAATGGTGATGGATGAATATAAAAACCCATATTATTATTATTTGCATGAGTAGATGGTGGTGGTGGTGGTGGTGATGGTCGTGTTTCGATAGTTGTTGGTATATTAACTTTAGAATAATAAGTAGCAAGAATTTCATCAACTGTTAATGGTGGTTTTTGTTGTTGTTGCTGTTGTTCTTCTTCTTTTTGTTCTTGTTTTAATTCATCTTGTTGTTTCATTCGTGGAACAACATTATGTTGTTCAAGTAATTGTTCAAGTGAAGGTGAATAATAAAGTCGTTCTTTATTTGTTTGATATTTTGAAGATGATTTATTTATTGATATTGATTTTAAATCTGAACGAGTATCAATTGTTAATGATTTAACATTTGTAGTTGTATTTATTGATGTTAAATCATTATATGAACGAGCTGTTAAAACTTTTGAAGATGAAACTTCTCCAATAATTGTTGATGTATGTGTTGCAGATGATATTGTTGCTTGTCGTAATTGACCAAATGTAATTGGTTGAGATTTTGTTTCAGTATATGATGGTAAAATTTTTGGTGATGTTGGAGGTGATGTAGGTCCATTATTACCACTTCGTCTTTTTAATGTGTCAAGCATTGTTACAATACGTCTATGAAATAATCTTGAATGAATACGTGATGAATCAATAGTTGTCATATCAGGTGAAGTTGATAATGTTGGATCATTTTGAGATGATTTTGTTATATTTAATATAGATTCATTTTCATTATTTATTCTTGTTGATGAAGGTGTTATTGATGATGATTCAGAAGAAGCAAGTAATTCAACCATTTTAGAATTAAATCGATTTGTATTTGTTCCAAATCGAAAACCTATTCGATATAGAGATGTTATTTTGAGTATTATGTCAACACAATATCTATTTTTTATAATTCTTTTTGATTCAAGAAAAAAAAACAGACTCAAATTTGGATAGATTTATAGAATATAATAACTATGATATGTCTGATTAGTTCCTATAGTTTAATATAAGATTTTTATTATTTAAAAACAAACCTGATGCTGATGGTGGATCATCTCTCGGAATAAATTTTCCAGGAATATTACTCTGAAATGCAACTTGTTTCTTTTTCGGCATCAGATTATATCTAGAATATATATAAACGAAAAGAAATTTTAACTGCGTTCTCTTTTATTTTATTAGATTACAAATATTAAAATTAAAAATAAAATGTTTAATCTTTAACACTATATGTACGTTTTGGAAAAGCCAATTTCTTTTTTTGTGTTTTAGTTAAACTTATTGATTCTTCTTTAGGTGTTAATAATCGTCTCATTGCTCGTGTTTGTTTTGGTCTTAAATCTTTTGGTTTATATTTTTCACCATGATAGAATTCTCTTAAATTATCTTTTGTTGTTTGATTTTGAACAATATGTACATGTGAAATAGATTTTCGAATATTTTCAATTTTATTGAAATTTTGTCTTTGTATTTTTAATGTATTTAATTCTTCATGTAAATTATTTAATATATTTTCGAGTTCATCTAAATATATAAAATAAATCTAATACGAAAAGAAAAAGCTAATTTATTTACTTGAACTTTTTTCTCGAATTTGACAACATGTAACGTGTGCCATTAAAACTAAAATCAATAAATGTGTATGTTCTGTAGAAAAATGAATCATATGTATAAAACAAAAAAAAAAAATATCAACCGATAGATGGTACCATAAGATCATTTGATTGGTGAATAGTTAACTGTCTAATAAAACAAAACAAACAATTTACTTATTATTCAAGGAAAATAAAATTGAGAAAAAAAAATGGATATGGAAAATATTCGTCAAGTACTTGAAGATGCTGCTCAAATATTTCTATCAGCTGCACATACAATTACAAATGAAAGACGTCGTGAAGCTGAAAAAGTCTTTATTTTTTGTTTTTTTTTGAGTATCTTCAATTGAAAATGTTTTTTTTTTCTCTTTCTTTGTTCAGGTTTTTTTACAATTTCGTCGTTCACAATTTTCACTTGATTTATATCGTTATTTAATTGAACATTCATCATCAAGTTATGTTGTTTATCAAACATTAACAGCACTTCGTGAAGGTATTGTTAAAGAATGGTCATCATTAAATGATGCATTAAAAGAACAAGTTGTACAATATCTTCTATCATATGTTTATTCACATTATTCAACATTATCGGTACATGTACGAGAACAAGCTTTACAAATCTTAGTTGTTATTAATAAACGACGTAAAGCACAACGTGCACAAATGGCTAAAAATGGTTTTACTGTTAGTTTAGCATTAACAAATTTATTACAATCAACAAATAATCAAGAATTTGAATTTGGTTTAACATTACTTAATGCATTTATTAATGAATATAGTTTTAGTAATGGTAAATAAATTGAAGATTTCTTTTTTCTTTTTTACAGACAAATAATTGATGTAAACTAAAGTTTCGGATAGAATTTTGAATGAAAATCTAAGATTGAATATCGATACATATTAAAATAGAAATGCACCGATCAAAATCCTATTTGATATCACTAGCTGTTATGAGGGTAGATCTATCAGAATATTAGAAAAAAAAACCCCAGTGATTATCGTCAATTCCTGTGGGATTTGCATGAACAATGAGATGAATACTTTTCAAGATAATTGAAATTTTCAGTTCTATCGAGCAGAAATAAAACGACGTTATGCTAGATTATTTTTCAACACTTTTCTATGCTTCGAAAGAATCTGAAACTCGTTCAGCTTTAATAGTATTGTTTCAAATTTTATGTTTAGCTCATTGGACCTGATGATACATACGTTGTACTATCTGCTTTGCAATAGAAAATAAAACATTTGTGCTCTAAATTAATAAATCATCTCAGTACTCAAGTTCCTAAAGCGAGTACTTGTATGTTTTCCAACGGCTTATTCATAACATGTTTTACTAGATGATTTCTTTGAGTATTCAGAAGTATTGTAAAGCTAAACATTCGCTTATCGAGCAAATACTCGACATTACCCAATTACTAAAAGGTTCGTAGAAGATACAAAAGGACCGAGAGATTAAGGAACGATGGGATCACCTTTTTTTTTTGTTCCGATCTCAGTTAAAGTTTTTTTTATTGCTTCTAGTCCTGATTTCGTTTCTAGCAAAAACTTTTTTAAAAATAATCTGTATGATTCTTTGGATAAATATAAAATTAACATTGATGATTTTGAGAAATTAATAATATGAGCATACATGCATCAGAACTAGAGAAATACAAAACCACTTGTTTTGTCTCACTCAAAATTTTCCTTGATTCTGGTCGTATGATTTAGGAAAATTCTCTCAGAGATTACAGTTCTTGCATAGATAAAAAATGTAAATGAATGATCTTCAATCGATATTTCCACAAGAATCACTTTGATAATATCAAAATTCAGGATATGCAGAACTATAGATACTACTTTTACTAGAGTCCTCCAAGATGATTTCGGTTCTTGTCCAGAATCGAAAAAAAAAGTGATTTTGCAGATCTATGCTTTTATCACAATCATAAAAAAGGGTCGATTTATAGATTTATGATCACAACAAAATCATAAGTATGACACAGTCTAGTTCTTAAACAGAAAATATAATGAGACCAGTTTTAAGTTCCGGCTCCGTAAAAATCAAAATTTGGTCCCGACAGAACCGAAATCACTTTGCAGATTCCTGAGGGAGATTATCCTGACCTTAGTAAGTTCACTAACGAGGGTGTTTCCTTAGATGCTTCCTTTCCGTTTTCAATGATTTTTTTGTCTATAGATACTACATAGTGTTCTAATAAAAACTCAAAAATGATCTATCTCCCTATTGATATTTAACTAAGTTATCGAATTTTTTTTTCTGAAACTTTGTGCATATAGAGGACTCAATTAATGTAGCTGAGTTCGTTATATGCATAAAGTTTCAGGTCGAAATTTGAAATTCTAAGTTTTCTGAAAACTTGAGATTTCTAGAAAAAAAATTCGATAGGTTCGTAACATCTCAATAGGGAGATAAATCCTTTTTGAGTTTTTATTAGAACACTATGTAGTATCTACAGACAAAAAAGACCCTTGAAAATGGAAGAAAACATCTGAAGAGGTTCTTTCTATCACAAGGTTTCTATGTAATCATGTTAAGTCATAGAAATTGATTGAAAAATAATTCTGATCTTAAACAGTATTTTCTTCAGATTTTCTCTTCCAGAGGAACGATTTACTACTCCAAGAGGGCAAACGCTTATTTTTGGGGGCGGAGACACATTATACATCGTATAATAATCGCAAAATCTTGGAAGAGTATTCCTCTCCAGGGACTCTCATTGAATTAGATCATTTAAATAATTTTCTATATGTTTTTTAGCTAATGAAGCTGGATTAACTGTTGAACAACGTCATTCAGTAAAACGAGATTTTGAAGAAAATGAATTAAAAACAGTTTTAGAATTATTATTAAATAAAATTCAAAGCAATCTTTCATCAATATCATCATCATCTGATCTTCAATTATTTTCATCAATATTAACAATTATTGAAAAAATTCTTTTATGGAATTTTTCATCATCATTTTCAAATACACGTCGTACTATGGAATCATCTAATAATGTTGAAACAATTGATTGGAGACCACCAATTAGTTGGAAACAATTAGTCTTTGATCAACAACTTGTCGAATTCTTTTTTCATATTTATGCTACACTCAAATCAATGGTATTATTTATTTCAGCTGTTAATGTTTTATTGACAAAAAAAAATTTTTTTTTGTCTTATTTCAGAATGAAACTAAAATTCTTTTGCAACGTCGTTGTCAGATACTTCGGTAGATTGTATTTTTTTAAAATATATTATTTAATAATTCTTAAATTTTAGATGTCTTTCTCAATTAGCTTGTTTAAATGGTCCATTAATTAGTGATGAACCATGTCGTTTACGTTATTTAACAACATTTTCATATTATTTTGTTCAAACTTTTTTAATTAATTCAACATTAACAATTAATTTAATTGAATGTTTTGATATTTCAAATATAATATCAAATTTAATAACATTATTTACTGTAAAAGGTTTTTGTTCAATGGATAATGATTTATGTAATTCATTTTTACAATTAATGTCACAAATAACAATACTTCTATGTCGTACAACAATAATATCATCAAATAATCAATTAGATAAAATAATTGAAGATCCAACAATAGCTAAAGAAACATTTGATCGTTTATTACAAGCATGGTCTAGATTATTATATGGAATTGATTTTGGAAGATTTGCTAATTTAAGATCATTTGCTATTGAAATATTTGATACTTATCTTCAAACACATTTACATATTAATGATAATTATGAAACTAATGATTTTGATTTAGCTGATAATGATGAAGATGATAAAGATTTATTTAGGTAAATGAAATTTTCTTTTAAGAATTAAAAAAAAATAATAATAATAGAATTTATTAGATTTGTATACATTAACTCTTCGTTGTTATCCTGAGATTCGCCTCAACCCATCCATCCATATAAAATTACAAACAGATGCACTACTAGATACAAAGTACCTAAACTTTGATCGCAAGGATTAATCAAGCCTTAGTTGGTCTTCATGCGGAGGAACTAGAAGATCAACATAGATTTTTTCTTCAAACCAGAATATCTCAGCAGAGAAAAACAAATCTCATGACGCTCGAACAGCTCCGTGCTGTCGCTATCATCAATAAAAATTTCATGTTAAACGATTTTAGTTTGCTTGATTTATGAAGTAATCGTTACATGAGAGCCAATAGGAATCATCAAAAAGTGATCCATATATTTGGCTGATTTTAACTATTTGTCTTGAAATTTTTTCAAGTGATTACTTTGCTCTAATTAAGCTTTCCTCCTCGTGCCTCAAGATTACAGCGGATTATCGTACCGTATCTGTGGCACAAACAATGCCTTTTTTGGGTTCTAGGGAAAAAACTAGTGTTTTCATTATAAATCCTTTGCATTAAGATCTATTCATCTAGGATTGCTGCTTACGATCAAAGTTTACCGAGCTATATTTGTACTCAAAATATCAGGCGAAATGATGGAAGTTTATGTACTTTTTAGATCTATTCTTGATTTTTGGTAAGAATATTATGCACCTATAAAAGACTAGAGATTACAGAAGAGGAATAATCCCCAAAAACAAATATTCGTGTAATACTAGACAAAAAACTGTAAAGTGGATTCACTTGGATCTCAAGACAGCAACGAAGAGTTCAGAAAGAAAGGAAAAAATAACAGTAAATAAATTTTGACATCGTGTTTATGAACTTTAAGATGAATACCAAGAGTAGATGCGTTTGAGAGAAAGTTTTTCTAGTTTTGATCTTGGGGATTTTACTAATGAGGGAATCGTTCGAAGTGATTCACCGTTTTTTACTTGTAGACTAGAAAAAACTTTAGAGGATATATGCCCATGTTGCGATTTAGCTTAAATATGAAATTTCTTTGTAGGGCCGTGATTTTCTGCCAAAATTTTGGTAGAAAATCATGGTCCTCCAGGAAAATTTTCGTATCTCAGTCAAATTGCAACATGAATCCATATACTTTTAGGCTTTTTTTTCTAGTCTACAGATCAAAATATGGAGCCAAAAGCGATGAATCACGTGGAACGATTCCCTTATAAGTCTACTGAATCCACTCTGAACCATTATGGAAGTTTTTGCATATTTATCTTCTTGATATTTTCTTCAAAATGGCTTAGAGTAGGGGTCCATTCGACTCAGAAGCTCAAGGTCTATCGACTGGTATAAATTCCAAACAAAACAGCTCTCAGCATGTATTTTAGTGATATCCGATTCCATAACACACTATGATTTTTTGAATGAGTTTATCAAATTACAGACAGACAATAAACTATTGATTCGGTTTCTAGATGTCAATAAATTTGATACTTATTCGAAAAAAAAAATTTATACTTTTATGTAATTGGTCATGTAAAGAATATTCTATGTCGTATATTTGAAATGTGAGTAATGTTTACTGCTTACTGAGTTGCAATTCGACTATCATATCATTTAAAAAGTAGTACTGAGTAACGTAGTAGTGCTCGTCATAAATATTAGACAAAGTATATGCTTCGAAAAAAGAAATTTTTATCGTTGAATGATGTTCTTCTGATTTTCCGTCAGTGTTTATCAAGTGATAGAAAGTGAAGTTCTATATTCTTACGTATATGTTTAAATTAACAGAGTTTATGATATCTATGAATCATTACACGAAAGGCACGACTAATCGTCATAGAGAGTGCTCAATCAATCTCTCAGATTTGCATAAGATCCATCTAATCTTGTAGAACGCATTTTTTTTTAGGTCCAGAACCCAATGTTTTTGCCTTATTGGATATCTCCTCGTCGAGATATTTGGATTTTTCGAAACATTTTTTGCTACTAGAAATATCTAAGATTTTACCAGACTACAATAGGAAAATCATCTTTGAAATTAATTTTCTCTAATTCAGCTGATTGGATTTCGCTCAAACTTAGTTTTCTAAAAACTAATCACAAAGTACTAGTTGATGGTGCATACAAAAGTTTGGTATCTTGTACTGAGCAAGGTCGGTTGTGACTCGCATGCAGTGAATCCTATGGATAGAAGTTGTTTTTTTTTTTTTGTTTTTATAAACGATTGAGTCTGAAATCAATACTATTACAACAGTACTTGTTATAAGTTTTGAAATAAAATTAGTCCGAGAACTTTTGAAAAGTTCTATGTATATCGAGTGTTTTTTTTTGTTTAGTGAACAATTAATATGTATTGGTCTCTTTGGTCGACATATAATTGATTATGCATTACCATTATTAATACGTTTATTAGTTGATCGAACAAAAAAATTATATAATATGATGAATAATAGTTCATCAAATATTAATACAAAAAGTTTAGATGCAATAAATGATGATTTACATTGGTTATTATTAATATGTGGTCATGTATTAACAGAAGAATATGATTCTGATGAACAAAAAACTATACCTGAAGCTGTAATGAATTTTTCAAGAGAACAAGTTAAATATTGTGATTTAAATAAATGTGTTCAAATAGCTCAACATATTCTTCAACAATCACAATTAGATTTAAGTGATGAAATCATGCATGGTGTTAGTCCTGTTACACAATGGTAAAATTCAATAGAATTAATTCAATAATAATAATAATAATAATTCAAATTTTTTTGTTTTGTTTTGTTTGTTTTAGTTTAGTAGCTGTATTAAAATTATCTGAAACTGAACGACATTTATGTAATAAAGGACAATTTGAATATATTAGTGTTCAAGTTGCTGTTAGTCTTACTTGGTTTATTCGACGATTAGCTGCAAATTATTTAGGTTTTGATGAACAATCATATAAAGATGGTAAATCATAATCTTTAATGATCAAATTTTTATTTCTTAATTCATCATATTGAAAATTGTACGATTGATAAAAATTTTATATTTGTTTAATCTTTTATCGTCTATTGGGTCATTTTTGACTCATTCGTAGTGAGTAATATAAAAAATGGTTTTGCTAGAATTATTTTATTTTTTGCGATATAAAATCATAAATAATACGATTTTCATGCTAAAAATTTTTATTAGAATTAATCCTACAGAGAATTTTGGATTGTCAAATGAGCTATCTTAGTTATATTCCCAACATATCCTAAAAAATTTCATTGCGATTTGAATATCTCTGAGTCAAGATCGATTTTTGAGGGAGCCTTAAAAAAAAACAAGAATTTTTATGGTTCAATATCAATTACAGATGATTTGAAAAGCTTGAATTATACACCGATTTTTACTGACGTCTTCGAATATTTCCCTAAAGATAAACTAGTAGATCCTGATTCAAAGAAAAAGCAGCGACCCGAATAAATATTCAATCATATCTAAAAACCATTGAATTTTAAACGCATATAATAATTATAATTATTTTCTTTTCTAGTTAGTCAAATATTATTAATATTACTTGGTAAAGGAAGTGAAATGTTAGAATTTCTAACGAATTATTTTCTATCAAAAGTTATAACAAATTTACAAATGTGGGCATCTGAAAGTGATGTTATTAGAGAAACAGGTTTGAATAAAATAAATAAAACTATTAGATCTTTATTATTTCTTTTTAAAATTAATCTTTTGTTTGATTTGTTTTTCTTTATTTTTTCTAGCCGATCTATTTGTAACATTATCAATGAAAAAAGATTCATCATTAATAATAATAAAAAATGATTTATTTTGGACATTAGCAAATAATGTTATAACAAATCAAATGCCAATACAATTAATTAATGAAGAATATAAACGTTTATTAATAAAAGGTATAACATGTACATGTTTAAATAATTCATCAGATGAATATCGTTTACATTTTGATCGTTCAATATTTCAAATTCTTAATCAACGTTTACATTCAATTGTTGAATCAATTCATACATTAATTGAACAAATTAAATTAAATACTAATAATAAAATTCATTGTACAAATGCATTACAAACATTTTATAGTGAAAATGTTTTAAGTCAAATAAGTACATTAATTAATTCATATTGTGGATTAATTGAAGGTGGTTCACGATGTTCATCAGAACAAATAACATATTTATTTGAACATAGTCAACAAACATTACAAGATATACTTGATTTATTTGATTTTTATCATAATTATTGTGATCAAGTACAAATTATACTTGAATTATTTTCATTATATGCTGAACATGTTTTAATTTATTTAAATCAAAATCATACGAATATTTTTTATAAATATATATTAAGATTATTACAAATATTTACGAAATGTAATTATGGAAAAAAGACAAAAGAAATTAATGCTGATGAAGATTTTAATTCTCATATTTATACATTATTAAATTGTTTAAATCATCTTTTGGCAAAAGATTTTATTGATTTCTCGAATGAAAATTCAACAAATACGTAAGTATTTTTGTCTTTAAAGTAAATTTATCTATTATCAATTTCAAAAAAAGAAAAATAGACTCAATTGTTTGTTGAATAACTCGACAATGCTCATAGCTATCGAGCTCGGATTTTTCGTCGTTAGAAAGAATATGAGTGGGGGGGAGTGCAAGTCTATCTGCAAATCAAAATACTTGAAAAAGTTTTCTAGGAATTTTTTGGAGAATCACTATCTGATTCGCTCGATTAGGTGTATTTTCAAGTGAAATTGAAAATTCAATATCTCGATAAAGAAACATCCTTTTTGACTAAAACTTTTAGAATATTCTATGGGCAAATTACCAGGTCGAAATTTCATAATTTCATTTTTCGATAAATACCTAGGAAAGGATCGAAAACTCTTAAAATCTTTTGTATTTATAAAGTAGGTATTGGGCTACAATATGGCTAAATTGAAATTGAAAATACAGCTAATCGAGCGAATCACACAGTGATTTTTCAAAAAATCTCTGGAATCTCCAAGAAAACTTTTCAAGTATTTTGATTCGCAGATACACTTGCATTCCCCCACTCATGCTCTTTCTAACGACGAAAATCTGAGCTCGATAGCTATCAGCGTTACCAAGTTATTAAGCAAACAACCGAGTCCATTCTTTTTTGAAATGGATCTTAGTTTGAAGTTAATCACAAACTATCAAAAGATTTTTATGAAATATGATTTAAAATGAGTGCTGAAATATAATAGTAGAATTCTGGCCCTACGATGGTCCTGAACCTGACGGACTCTAGTCGCCTGAGAAATATAGAAGGTATGATAGTCACCGAATACAAAAAACTAGAAAAAAGTATCGCCTATCTGCGGAACGACTATCTGATACTGATTAGAAAATGTCATTGAGAGCATCAAAGTACGGTTCGATTAGATCCGAATTCGAGTCCCAAAAACATTCAATAAGTTGGATCTCAAAATTTTAGACCTCACCAACTCTACCTTCTACATAGTTTGTGGCAGACACCTTAGTATTGCACCTCTCTCCTTACCGGGGTTCTCAATTAAGGGGACGTAATGCTTCCGATCATAATATCTGACTTTTTGCTAATTTTTCAGTTCAGTGATAAATTTGGATAGAAGCCGGATTTTTAAATAGTATTTACCTTTCTCTCGCAGAAAATGGAATAAAAGTAAGCAAACAATGTTGTTGCGAGGTGAATAGGATTGGAATAGTCCCCGATGGAAGGAAGGTCATCTGTTATGAGAGACGTAGCGTCAGGGTAGGTTTCATTCTTGATCTAATACGTATACGCAAAACCGAAGTCTATTGTAGAAATAGTATGAAACATGATTGGGTTTAAGATATTTGTCCTTCGTTCTCACTCACTGTAATATATAACGATTACTAACATCTTTTGTCATCGACATGTTTACAAGTCAAAATGTATGTTCATAAATTCTTTCATTTACAATGTTAGTAGTTCCATCGTGTTTCACACTTTATTTCCACAGGGATTGCGCTAACAATTTTTTTTTTATATATAGTTTTCTTTGTTTTGATAAACTGTAAAAGTTTGGATTTTTTTTTTTCGTTTTTGGACATCAGTTTATCTAACGAATGCATCAGTGTGAATGGCTGTCTGAATATTCTTCCTATCTGTTAGTGTATTTTCATCAATTTGAATATAATATTTCATTAGACATTCATCGAAATTTAATCACACAATATATTCATTTACATTTAATACATTTCATCTACAGTAATTTGATATAGTTACATAAGGTTGTGTCTCTGCAGTAATCATTTTCATATATACTATATATTATTTCTCAACGTTATTCTCAATTTAGACAATATCAAATATTTATAATGCATCTTAATGAGATTGTTTTGTTCTTTGAAAAAAAGCATTCCAGTCTCGTTCTATTCGGATTCATTATGTCTTATTTTTATTAATAAATATTAAATATAAAAACATTTGTTTATTTATTAAAGAAAATTCCTGATCTCCTGAGACAATTATTAGATCTTCTAAACCACACGAAACAACTATTCTTGATAATCTGAGATGATCCAATAGTTCTAATAACTAGTAATACAAGCTAATGCATAGATTGATCGTGACAGTTCAACCAATGGGCATACATTTCTACCAAGAAACTCTTTTTAATCTTTCTAATTTTTTTTTTACTTATTATTAATTGTCTATGTGACACTATTTATTGAATTAAAATATAATGACAAAACATATTCTAAAATTTCATTCTTTTATTTTTAATTTGTAGAGATGTTAATGTTGGTGATGTTGTTCTATATGGTTTAATAATTTGTTTACCATTAATTCAATTAGATAATTTATTAAAAATTCCTTCGATTAGTATATGTTATTATAAACTTGCATCATCATTATGTGAACAACATTCTGATTGTATATTTCGTTTACTTAATCCCGATCAATATTCAATATTTTTATCAACAATAAAATTAGGTCTTGATAATTATGATAATGAGATATGTAAAATGTGTTTAGAAACAATTCAAAATTTAACATTATATACAATAAAACAACAAAAATTAAATCAAACTAATGAAAAAATTAAATATTTAGAACATTTTCTTGATTATCTTTTACAAGAAATTGTTATAACAACAACAACATTATCTGATTTATTTGATACCTTAGCTGGTACAATTTATACATTAATATGTGCATATCCAAATCAATTTTATCATATTCTTGGACAAATGAAACAATATGATGAAAATTTATCAATAATAATTGATAAATTAGCTAATGATACTGGACAAAAACCAGATTATAATCGTAAAGCTAAAATATCATTTACAGTTAAATTTGAATCATTTGTTACAAATCTTAGACGAATTATGAAAAAATAATTACAAAAAAATAAAACTCATTGTTAAAATTTATTCATTTGTTATGTTTTGTTTCTTCTTTTTTTTTTTAAATTAAAAATTCCCGTGAAACACATTCTTTTGATTATTATTTAAAAAAAGATCTAAAACTCTCTTGTTCATCTGCTTACTAGACATTTAATTTGTTTAAAAAACAAATCAAATCATGCAATTATTTGTTATCAATAAATCTATTATAAATGAATAATTTATTTTGGAATTTTGTTTTATTTTAGATACGTTATTATTTATGTATCGATTATCAATTCTTGTTTTTAGTATTTTCTATCAATCGTATCGAACAAGAGCATTTAACGGAAATATGGCGTGGCGTTCATCTGGTTCATCAAATAATGAATTAATTGAAAATTTATATAGAAATGGTTTAATCACAACTCAACGTATCAAAGACGCAATGTTACAAGTTGATCGAGCTGATTTTACTGATCGTAAACCTGATGCTTACGACGATCGACCTCAATCAAGTATCTTGAAGAAATTGAATTTCTTCAATTACTAATATTTACTCTTTTTTTTTCTAGTTGGTTATGCGGTAAGTACATATGTATTTTCAATAAATGATCTTTGAATTTTATTTCTCACAACAATTTCCAGGTAACAATCAGGTAAGATTTTTATACTAATAAAAAAAAAGTAATATTTGAAAAAATTTTTATTGTTAGTGCTCCACATATGCATTGTTTTGGTTTGGAAATTCTCAAAGATCAATTAAAACCTGGTATTTATGGTTTTTAGGAGTGCGCCCATGAGGGGATCGAGGTACTGATCAAAATGTAGATTTTTGCACCATAAATGTTTATTAGGATTATGCTTCAACGAGATAAAAAATTTTTCCGTACAATATACTATAAGCTAAAGCATGAATCGCTGAAAAAAAATGAGCTATTTGAATTATTAGAGATAATGTATTTACTGAGTTTTTGTAGTCTAACGTGAATGAGAAATGTTACAATTTATGAATTCAAAAAAGTTGCTTTTGAGAGTATCTCTGCGGTCAGTTTTTGAAATTAAAACATACCAAACTGAATTTTTAATTCTCTATAAAGTGGTAAAAAAAATCGAAAAAAAAAGTTCATTTTCGAGGTTAAACAGGGCTGACAAGTCTCTTTTTTTATAGTGTTTGTTTAATGATTTTTTTAAAGGAGCAACGTTTTTTTTTTCAGCGATTTTCATGGACAAGACACAACTGTGAGTCAAAACGGTTGTTACATTCGAAATCAGCGTCAAAAACTATATCGAATCGAATTACTTCTCGGGAAATTTTTTTTTCTGAGGAAAATCACTTGTGGTTCCCCACAGCTATATTTTATTAAACTCTTAGCCGGTGATGCCCCAGAGGTTAGTTTTTCATAGAAAAAATTTCTCTAGAACTTATTCGATTCGATGTATTTTTTGATGCTGATTTCGAATGTAACAACCGTTTTGACTCACAGTTATGTCTTGTCAATGAAAATCGCCGAAAAAAAATGTTACTCCTTTTGAAAAATCATTACACAAACGCTATAAAAAAAGAGACTAGTAAGCCCTGTTTAACCTCGAAAATGAACTTTTTTTTGTCGATATTTTTTTACCATTTTATAGAGAATTAAAAATTCAGTTTGATACCTTTTGATTTCAAAAACTGACAGCAGAGATACTATCAAAATCGACTTTTTTGAATTCATAAATTGTGACATTTCTCACTCACGTTAGACTACAAAAACTCAGTAAACACATTATATCTAATAATTCAAATAGCTCATTTTTTTTCAGCGATTCATGCTTTAGCTTATAGTATATTGTACGGAAAAATTCTTTATCTCGTTGAAACATAATCCTAATAAACATTTATGATACAAAAATCTACATTTTGACCAGTGCCTTGATTCTCTCGTGGACGCCCTCTTAAGTATCTTTATATAATTTTTGCTTTAATTTACCAGGTGCTAAAGTTCTTGATGTTGGCTCTGGTTCAGGATATTTAACAGCATGTATGGCACGTTTAGTTCGTTCAGGTGGTAAAGCAATTGGTGTTGAACATATTCAAGAACTTGTTGATAAATCAATAATAAATATTAAAAAAAATAATAAAGATTTATTCGATGAAGGTGTTTTAGAAATTCATAAAGGTGATGGTCGGCAAGGTTATGCTGCTGAAGCACCATATGATGCTATTCATGTTGGTGCAGCGGCATCCGGTACTCCACATGAACTTATTCGTCAACTTAAAGTTGGTGGACGACTTGTATCACCTGTTGGTAGTGGATTTGGTCAAGAAATGATAACATACGATAAAAAAGCTGATGGAACCTATCACGAACAAACACATATGGGTGTTATGTATGTTCCATTAACCGATGAACAGAAACAATATGCAAGTGCCGGAATACGAAAAGACTTATAAATAACAAATTTTCTTCGTTTTTCTTGATTTTACAAAGAAAACCCAGCTTTTGATATGTCTTGTTTTTTTTTCTTAGAATTGTAATTTAATCTAGCTCTGTCTTAATTATTCTAGATTAGTATAATGCTAACAAAACGTATTATATCATCATTATTTTCGACAAAAAATTGTCGTTTTATTCAAACAAGTATTATTGTTAATGCAAGTCAACAACAAAATTCTTCATCAACTTCTTATGATAAATCTCTTTATGATTCAACACGAAAAAATTTATATATTAATAATGAAACACGAGTTATATGTCAAGGTTTTACTGGTAAACAAGGAACATTTCATTCTCAACAAGCACTTGATTATGGTACAAAATTAGTTGGTGGTGTTAATCCAAAAAAAGCTGGTACTAAACATTTAGGTTTACCAGTATTTAAAACAGTACATGATGCTATGAAAGAAACTGGTGCAACAGCTACAGTTATTTATGTTCCACCACCAGGTGCAGCTGAAGCTATTCTTGAAGCTGTGGATGCTGGTATTAGTTTAATTGTATGTATAACAGAAGGTATTCCACAACATGATATGGTTAAAGTTAAATATCAACTTGTAAGACAAAATAAATCACGTCTTGTTGGACCAAATTGTCCAGGTGTTATTGGTAAGTAGAAGAGTCTTAGTGAGAATTAAACATAAGGATACATCAATTCCTCGACCATAATTTCAAAGATTACATTGCTGTTTTTTTAAGTATTGAATTTTCATTGCACTATTCGAAATATTCTTGTCTTTAGATATGCATGCAACAATTCCTAGAACATTATGTCAAAAATAACGTATAGAAAGGTACGGGTTCTTCCACACTCAGATCCGGATCTAAAGTTTTATTTTTGTCTGTCAGACCCGATTACACGTTTTTGTGAATCCGCTGTTCCCCAGATGAGAAATATAGCAACAAAATATAACTGTACGTTGAGTTTTTTTTTCAAAGTGGCGAATAAATCGCTAAAATCTTGATCCTCTATTTGTTCATATACACGAAGGGTAACATGTATTGATGGAAAAAACCTTAGATTTGGATTCGGACCGGGTTCAGGTTCAAATCTTTTATTTTTTTGAATCCGAGGCGAGTTCGGATCTAAATTTTAAACTTTTTTTGGGTCCGGATCCACAAAAACGCAGATCCGCAGCTCCCTAATAACGTACCTGTAATATTGAGAATCAATGTATTCATGCTAATGGTTTATGATAGCCATGATCATATTTGAATGTTGTATTCAATGCTACCATTTAATTCAGCAAAGCTTACAAAATTGATCGTATTTTGTATAAAGAAAATCCTAACTTTTGACCAATTCCGAAACTCTTGTTTTAAATTCAATGAAATCTAACAATAGTTCCGAATGGTGCAATGAAAATTGGTAGGACAATAAGTTTTCAATACCAAAAAAAAAAACATGTCATCTTTGAAAACATAATCCAAGAATTGGTACATCTCTAATTTAAACATTTGAATATTTAGCTCCTGATAAATGTAAAATTGGAATTATGCCTGGTCATATTCATCGATCAGGTCCAATAGGTATTGTATCACGTAGTGGTACATTAACTTATGAAGCTGTTCATCAAACTACACAAGCCGGTCTTGGTCAATCATTATGTGTTGGTATTGGTGGCGATCCATTTAATGGTACTGATTTTATTGATTGTTTAGATTTATTTTTAAAGGATCCAGCTACACAAGGTATTATACTTATTGGTGAAATTGGTGGTAATGCTGAAGAAGCAGCTGCTGAATATCTTAAAGAAAATAATAGTGGATCAAACGCTAAACCTATTGTTGCTTTTATTGCGGGACAAACCGCTCCACCTGGTCGTCGTATGGGTCATGCTGGCGCTATTATAAGTGGAAAATCTGGCGGTGCTGAAGGAAAAATTCAAGCATTAAAAGATGCCAAAGTTAATGTTAGTGATTCTCCAGCTAAAATGGGACAATTAATGTATAAATCATTGAAAGGCTAAAAACAAACTTTTAGTTCAAAAAACAAAAATAAATGCACGAATTTGATCAAAGCTCATACATTGTTTAATCTTAGACAAAGAATTTTATTTATATTAGTTTTTTTCTTCTATTCTTATACTTTTTATATCTCTAGTTTTTTTATTTTTTATTTGGATGGATAATAGAATAGAATGTTATTGAGAGTATCATATACAACGGTCTCTTTTTCGCTTTATTCGTTCTATATGAAGTTGAAAAAAGCAACAAGAAAAATAATTGATATTTTTTCTTCATCATTACCATCACCATCATCATCATCATCATCATCATCATCATCGTCATACGTTATTATATTCCGTCGCGTCCCAATGTGTATGATGATGACGGTGGTAGTAGTGATCAAAAGAAGGCATCCATTCGACGACGACTTGTTTTTCTTTTCTTTTTTTGCATCGCACTATCGACATCGTTGTCGGGTTTTTTCTTCATTGCTTGCGATCAGGAAAAAAAAAAGAAAAGAAAAAAGACCCTTATATAAATGGAGTAAAGGTGAAGTTGTTTCAAAAATATTTTTTTTTTGGCCCA